TAAGATAAATTGCTGAAATAGAGTTAGTTTGGGTGGTTAATTCGTATTTATTATCATTTAAAGTTGAACATTTTTTTAAAAAAACATTTAATTAAAACTATCTGAATTGTATTAAGTTTAATATCAGTAATGTGCAGTGCAACATACAAAAAAAAAAAACTCTAGTTGATGTAGTTCTGCCCATTACGTCATTTATGAGCCTAACAGTTAACAAAGCCATTGGTTGAGGGTCTTTAGCCAGAAAGATAAAAAAATGTTCAACTAATGAAAAACAAGTTGTCATTCTTGTAGACTCCCCTCTTCCAACACAAATATCACTGTCATATACTGTTATCGTGGTTTCTTGGTAATGCCAATAATATGTAGTAGGCCTACTTTGTTCATTGAACTGTAACCAAGTTCTTTACCTTGGTTGGAGTACCTAAACTATTTCATCCTCAGTATTGGGGTGCATAAAATTGATAAAAATGGTAAATTTATAAGTAATCTTAATATAGTTATTTAAAATCTTTTCTTCCTGCTAATTATTTGGTTTGAAACTTGCATATCATCATTGACAGCATTCTCTGTCTATTCCTGTTTACTGTCTATTTTCCCAGTAACCAAATGTTGGCATAATTGTCTCAGCCATAAAGCTGAATGAATTACCAATATTTAACTTACTTAGCAATAAATTATGGATTAGTGGCCTCCTTTGGTAAAACTAATTAAAACAGTAATTAGTTAAAAGAATAATGTTTAATAAACTAATGTTTCTTTTAAAGTCAACAGATTTGAATGTGATAGAGATTATAATGCATGACTTCAGCAAAACAAATTGTTCCCTATCTGGTCATAATGATATAAATGTACAATTACATATGTGAATACATCCAGCAAAAACCACACCATCACATCTCCTCGAGACGGATGGATGCAAAAATACAAGTACATGTGAATCTGTCTCATCTTGACCGAAAACCACATCATGAAACTTGACCAAAAAATTGTATATAGTAGTTTTTACAAACGACATGGCAATTCAAAATGCTGTTTTAAAACCCCTGATTCTCTGAAATTCGATTTTTTCATTTGATTCATTTCTTCAACGAAACATGTTCGCATGTAGTTAAAAAATACCATGAATTTATTTGTCTTTCAAGTTGTTAGGGGCCTTATCAAAGGAAATCTTTATGTTTCATGTTGTTAGGGGCCTTATCAAATGAGATGTTTGTGTTTCAAAGTGTCAAGGGCCTTATCAAAGGAGATGTTTGTGTTTCATGTTGTTAGGGGCCTTATCAAAGGAGATTTTTGTGTTTCAAAGTGTCAAGGGCCTTATCAAAGGAGATGTTTGTGTTTCAAGTTGTTAGGGGCCTTATCAAAGGTTTTATTTGTCTATTTTTTTAAAAACTCATAATGAAATTAAAAAATTGACAAAAAATCAACTTTATTATGACATAATAGATACAAAAGAATAAACTGTATCATGGCATGATAGATACAAAAAAATCAACTTTATCATGAAATAATAGATACAAAAAAATAAACTTCATCATGAAATAATAGATAGAATGATGGTGTGGGAACATCAGTTAAATGTCAAGACAATGTTTTTTCAAGGGACACAACTGTTCATAAAACCTCATAGTAGTTTTATAAATAATATGCTATTCTAATTTTATATATTACATTATGTTTAGGGAGTCATCCATAAATGATGACATGCAAGATTTTTGTACCCCCTTCCCCAAACTTCACAAATTTGTCCCCAAAAATCACCCAATTTAGTCATCCTCATAATTAATCCTCACAACTTTTTACTCCCCCCCCCCCCCCCCCCCCCCCAAATTGTGTAATTACCCTACAAAAGGGAATTGTGTAATTACCCTACAAAAGGGAATTGTGTAATTACCCTACAAAAGGGAATTGTGTAATTACCCTACAAAAGGGAATTGTGTAATTACCCTACAAAAGGGAATTGTGTAATTACCCTACAAAAGGGAATTGTGTAATTACCCTACAAAAAAATGTTAAAATAAACATTATTGTAAGTTTTGGAAAAGAAATGTGCACTTTGCCCTACAAGCAAGAACACTGACTTCTACAGTTCAAACAACCTAAATACTTTTCTAATAATAGTAAAGCATTTTTCTTGTACATGAATTTCATTTCTATACTATGAATTCCTTCCCCTAACTTTGTTACTAACAATGGATTTCCTGTGATTGGAATTTTGATAGTTACATGATCAATATCATCTAATTTGACAAACACAGTGGTTTAAGTTTTTGTCAGCTTCTAATGCTAGTCTCCTTTTAGAAGGTGGATAGATTTTGTCTCTATTTTTCTGTCATGTCGATAGCCATTGTACAATTCTCATTATTACATCTTAACTATTTTCATGATAAGCATTTGTATTTAATTACCAATCTCTCCCCTCATCAGCATCATCATTACATGTACCATATATTGAAATTCTTTTGTATACACAAGAACCAATGTAATCGTTTTATATTTAATTTTTATGTCAATAGAAATATTTCAGTGGTTATTGTGTTGTTATATTGACTTACAAATGAAATTTGTAATCATTATTTTCCATATTTAATTAAAAAATTGACATGTTGAAATAATTTGATAACACACTGTAAATAACGTGATGGCTTATTTGAATCATGTAATATACAAAGATAAACAACTGTTCATTTTAAAGTTGCTTTGTTTCTAAATAAGGATTTTGTGATTTTATTTGATATGGTTATGCAGAATAAATTATTACAAATGCAAAGTGCAACAATGTTTATTGAATATTTTTACAAACCCCAAAACTGATAGCTTCTCTCCACCCTCTTTTAAGTCAATGAGAAAACTGATAGCTTCTCTCCACCCTCTTTTAAGTCAATGAGAAAACTGATAGCTTCTCTCCACCCTCTTTTAAGTCAATGAGAAAACTGATAGCTTCTCTCCACCCTCTTTTAAGTCAATGAGAAAACTGATAGCTTCTCTCCACCCTCTTTTAAGTCAATGAGAAAACTGATAGCTTCTCTCCACCCTCTTTTAAGTCAATGACAAAACTGATCTGCGAGACTAGAGCAGATTTAAGATTTACAAATGATTAGACTGACATGCTCTGGGAAATTCAATGGTTATCCAAAAATTTTTGTATGGGGTCAAACTGGTGAACATTCACAACCAGTCAAACACCATTGCTTTAGTTCCATCTCAAAAACAGCTGAACGGTATTTCTCTATCTTCACTATCATATGGTACTGCTCTATCTTAACTATCACATGTTATTTCTCTACCTTAACTAACATCATATGGTATTGCTCTAGCTTCACTATATTATGGTATTGCTCTAGCTTCACTATTATATGATATTGTTTAAGCTTAACTATCATATGGTATTGCTCTAGCTTCACTATTATATGATATTGTTTAAGCTTAACTATCATATGGTATTGCTCTAGCTATCATATATTATTGCTCTAGTTTCACTATCATATGGTATTGCTCTATCTTAACTTTCATGCTATATCTTAGCTATCATCATATGGTATTACTCTAGCTTCACTATCATGCTTGTTGCTTTTTTTCTTACTATAAGTCCAGACTCTGGCAACCTGATCATTAACATCAGAAAGTAAAAGAGACATGAAAAACAGACAATGAATAAGCCCATTGGGCTTGACTCTGAGACACCAAAAGTCTGATACAACAAATGTCCCTGTCAGATGAATCCATTGGGCTGAACACCTAAAGTCTGATACTACCAATGTCCATGTCAGATGAATCCATTGGCCTGGACACCTTTAGTCTGATACTACCAATGTCCATGTCAGATGAATCCATTGGGCTGAACACCTAAAGTCTGATACTACCAATGTCCATGTCAGATGAATCCATTGGGCTGGACTCTCAGACACCTTAAGACTGTTACTGTCCATGAACACTATCAGATAACCCATACGGTTGGAGAAGAACTCAGAGGGTCACAGTAAGTGTGTTATTGCCAATGACCACTGTCTGATTAATAAAATGATTTGGACTCTCAGACACCTAAGTTTGTTACTGCCCCCTCATCTAGGAGTGAATGTATGATAATGAAAAAATGTGGAAAGAGAAGAAAATAATGTGAACTTGATTAGTGCCGAGTGCTAGCTTTATTAAGCAAACCATTAGTGCTAGTTTTAATTGGAAAACTATTAATGCTGGGTTTATTTAGCAAATTATTGGAACACTAGGGCTTAACCTGGTACCAGGTGGGTACAAGTTAAAAAAAAAAATAATTAACCTCTCATTTTCTATAAATAAAAGGCCTACAGGCAATCCTACACCCTACCTGCCGGCCTTTAAAATATAGTCCTAACACTCTACCTGCGAGGGTTTTAAAATATAGTCCTAACACCCTACCTGTCGGCCTTTAAAATATAGTCCTAACACCCTACCTGCCAGGGTTTTAAAATATAGTACTAACACTCTACCTTCCAGGGATTTAAAATATAGTCCTAACACCCTACCTGCCGGGGTTTTAAATATAGTCCTAACACCCTACCTGCCAGGGTTTTAAAATAAAGTCCTAACACCCTACCTGCCGGCCTTTAAAATATAGTCCTTACACCCTACCTGCGGGCATGAAAAAAATAGTCCTACACCATTTCGTTGTCTTTTTATTAATAATTAAATAGTCAACTCCGAAAAAATTAAACATTTTTACCAGAGTTCAACCGTCATGCATGAAGCTCAGCAGTTTCTTTGTTTCACTATCAATATAAAGCATGGTTGACTAGGGACCGGTTGTGAAAAGGAAGCAGTCATACCAAAAGCAAAATATATATAAGCAAAGATCAAGGAAATTACATCAGAAACAATCATATCTTAAACTATATCAATTAAAAATTAAAAACAATTTTGAAGTCTTTTTATGTGAAATTTATTATGTGAAATATCCATTGATGGAGAAAAGAGATCAAGTAAGACTTTGAAAAAAGACATTAGTAATATATAGAATCTGATAAAAAATCTGCAAATCTTTTATTTTAAAACATGTCAACAATGAAAGATTTCATACAACAATGAAAGAGTTCATACAACAATGAAAGAGTTCATATTTGATAGGAGGGTGAGAAGAGTTCATATTTGATAGGAGGGTGAGAAGATGAGAGGCATCAACAATGGTTTCAATCCAAAAGATGATCATTCAAATGATCAGAAAAAAAAAACCAAGACTGTCAAGGTTTTATCCAACATTTTCTTTGCACACATTAACATGCTCTTTGATATCTGTATTATCAGCCAGGTAGTACTTTGCACACAGTAACATGCTCTTTGATATCTGTATTATCAGCCAGGTAATACTTTGCACACAGTAACATGCTCTTTGATATCTGTATTATCAGCCAGGTAATACTTTGCACACAGTAACATGCTCTTTGATATCTGTATTATCAGCCAGGTAATACTTTGCACACAGTAACATGCTCTTTGATATCTGTATTATCAGCCAGGTAATACTTTGCACACATTAACATGCTCTTTGATATCGTTATCATCAGCCTGGAAATATTTTGCACACAGTAACATGCTCTTTGATATCGGCATTATCAGCCAGGTAATACTATTTATTGACTACCAAACACTGACATATTAGCCTCACAGTTTCATAAACTTCAATCAGAATCGTAGCAACAACTTCAGTTTAATGTTATAAATCAAGTTATATACAAGGAATCTTCAAAATCAACAATCTCCTTAGCCCCCTCAGTACAGACGTAATATATGGATGGCCCCATACTGATGATATTGAGAATTTTTAATCCATTTTGTTATTAAAAAATAGAGGACATTGTAACAAATTTTTTGATACCAAATTTATAAAAAAATATAACTTTGACCTAATTATTGTATTAAAAATTATTATTTTTTTTGTACAGTAGCAACTGGCAATCACGATATTTTGCAATAACGACAATACTCACTGCTCATTTTATGGCAAATTCTTGTTTTGCCGACACAAAGGCAAAGTTTAACTGCCCCGACCTACATACAAGAACTGCCATTTTTTCCCCCTATAATTAAATTGAAAATGCCAGCCATATGAGGGAGAGTATCGAAATGGAGTTTGCACCAAAGTCAGCTTGCTTCAGTTAACATATCTCTGACACTTATAATTATAGAATTCATTCCTGTTACAAACACAAGAAAACACTGCATAGATTCCCTTACTTCCATGTAAAGCAGACTTTCCAGCAACCAACAGTGCACCCCCTTACAAACCAACAGTGCACTGCATCACAAACAAACAGTGCACAACCTCACAAACAGTGCACAGCATCACAAACCACAGTGCACTGCCTAACAAACAAACATTGCACTGCCTCACAAACCAACAGTGCACTGCCTCACAAACAAACAGTACACAACCTCACAAACAGTGCACAGCTTCACAAACCAACAGTGCACTGCCTACAAACCAACAGTGCACTGCCTCACAAACCAACAGTGCACTGCCTCACAAACAAACAGTGCACAACCTCAAAAACAGTGCACAGCACCACAAACCAACAGTGCACTGCCTCACAAACCAACAGTGCACTGCCTCACAAACAGTGCACAACCTCACAAACAGTGCACAGCATCACAAACCAACAGTGCACTGCCTAACAAACCAACAATGCACTGCCTAACAAACCAACAGGGCACTGCCTCACAAACCAACAGAGTACAACCTCACAAACCAACAGGGCACTGCCTCACAAACAACCCTGCCTCACAAACCAACAGGGCACAGCCTCACAAACCAACCCTGCCTCACAAGCCAACAGTGCACAGCCTCACAAATGTCTGACTACAGGAGCTGTTATATACAAAACATGATAACAACATTCAAAAAGAAGTTTTTGTTGCTTTAACTCTTTCGCTGCAGAATTTTTTTATCTGAAAAATGTACATTATTTTTCGAAGAGCAAAAAAGAGTGAGAGGTTGGGTTTATTAAAAAATATATAAAATATTACTTTTTGGTTTATAAGACTAAACTTGGTATCAAATGAAAGATAATTGAAAGGACTATATGTTTGTGAACTTATTTCTTCAGTTTAAATAAAATAAGTTCCAGAGAAGAATCATAAAATGTGAAAACATATGCTAAACCATATTCCCCCAAACCCTATGATGTACGCATACCTCATCTTCACTCCTATAACGCAAATCCTCTAAAACTACTACCATCGGAATCATGTGATGGATCTAAATATAAATCCTCTTCACCATCAAAAGAAATAGTATAAATCAATTCCAAAGCTTTTTGAGCTGTTAATCATATAGGAAACTTACTCACCGACTAGGGCCTAGGGTAGCCATAGGAACAGTAGAAAAAATAGCCAAGAAAATCATTAAAATAATGCTTCAAATGACAACAAATAAAACTTGGTTTCGCTTATAAACAATGAAGTACCACTCTTCTATGTAAAAGTACTATTAAAAAGTAGCTCTTAAAAAGTTTAGCAGAGAAATAGCAAAGAAACAAACATGCTATTGAAAGGAATGTGAGCGTGTTGGTCCGTGCTTTTGAGAACGGCAGATGAACGCACTCTGCGTTGCTCCGCAGCGAAAGAGTTAAATACAGTAAGCTAAATCGATTTCTCAGGGCAGTTGGATATTTTAGCACACATGAAACAACAACCTTCAAGATGTTAAATGATTGAGACTTTGTGACTGCATCCATACTTGTGTTATGTTGACTTGACTGCATCCATACTTGTGTTATGTTGACTATGTCTAATTGTGACTGCATCCTTACTTGTGTTATGTTGACCATGTGTAAAAGTATATTTTCTGCCAGATGGGAAGGTAATCCATCAAAGGCCCTACAATAAAAAAGAGATCTTACAGTTACGGACATGTCAAATAGATTCAACGAAAAACAATATTTATTAACAACTTATTATTTGGTGAAACAAATAATTTCCATCTGGGCGACTTATTTTAGGGGTAACCAAAGCAGAAATTTTAATGGGAATCAAAAGATTCAATGCACACATCTTTTATGCATTAATTCTTAGGATCAAAATGAAACATTCAAACCCAATACAGTACCCCATTGAACATCAATAAACAGTTTTGGAGAACACCTGTATGACATAAAAAAAACAGTTTTGGAGAACCCCTGTAAAACATCAATAAACAGTTTTGGAGAACACCTGTATAACATTAAAAAAAACAGATTTGGAGAACACCTGTAAAACATCAATAAACAGTTTTGGAGAACACCTGTATAACATTAAAAAAAAACAGTTTTGGAGAACACCTGTAAAACATAAAAAAAAAACAGTTTTGGAGAACACCTGTAAAACATCAATAAACAGTTTTGGAGAACACCTGTATAACATTAAAAAAAAACAATTTTGGAGAACACCTGTAAAACATCAAAAAACAAAATTGGAGAACACCTTTATAAAAAAAAAAAAAAAAATAAAAATAAAAAAAAACAGTTTTGGAGAACACCTGTAAAACATAAAAAAAAAACAGTTTTGGAGAACACCTGTAAAACATCAATAAACAGTTTTGGAGAACACCTGTATAACATTAAAAAAAAACAGTTTTGGAGAACACCTGTAAAACATCAATAAACAGTTTTGGAGAACACCTTTATAACATAAAAAAAAAACAGTTTTGGAGAACACCTGTATAACATCAATAAACAGTTTTGGAGAACACCTGTATAACATCAATAAACAGTTTCGGAGAACACCTGTATAACATCAATAAACAGTTTTGGAGAACACCTGTATAACATCAATAAACAGTTTTGGAGAACACCTGGATAACATCAATAAACAGTTTTGGAGAACACCTGTATAACATCAATAGACAGTTTTGGAGAACACCTGTATAGCATCAATAAACAAGACCTTTGTCAGGTTTCAAAACATTTCAACAGTGATGGAATATTAGACATTGCGGTTAGTGGTATATTTTATGCAAGTACTACACATCACAGAATTTATATGAAAAATAAATTAATAACAAAATTTTGTTCGCTGACTCCCTACAGTATAAATCAAATTCATAATTTGACATAGCTGCAATGTATTTTTCTTATTTGGTTTTTAAACTTTACTTCCACCCACTTCCTTTCTTCTGTTCTTCTGAGCTTTGTTTTTTTGTCAGGGACTTGCACCCACTCTAATTCTTTTCTTTCTTTCTTAGGTACCATACATGTATTTGTATTATATTAATTTAGTTTAAAATTTAATTTATACTAATATGGATATTTCTGTTGTACTGATAATGGCATTTGCTGAAACTTTTACATTTATCATTTGTATAATCATATTAAAGCTTAACCTATATTGTTTTATTTACACAAAATGTTTGGGTCTCAATCTACTTCAGTGTTTCCCAAAGTGTGGTACGCATACCGCTGGGGGTACAGGAAGAGTTTAATGGACGTACACGCTGCAAAGGAAACAATTTTACAATTTTTTTTTTTTATTGTTATTTAAGTTCATGCAATTTTTTTTAATGCAGGGTACTCTGTGTTATGAAAATTATTGATGGGTACACAAATGTCAAAAGTTTGGGAAACACTGCTCTACTTGAAAGCTTTATTGCAGTACAACACTCTTATACTTATAGTGCGGGTATCCCAGAACTTCAAGAGCATAAATCCTGCAATGGTCATGTTTATTTCAAACTAGCATCCATTCAGACTGAAACATGTTGACTTTCTTAATTAAAGTACTCACCAAGAACAAGTGATACTCCAGGTATTGTATCTGATAATCCTTTGAGAATGCCTAATAGCTTTATCCTGCAATCAAGTACACAAAAGCTATACCGATAAATAACCTTGACATTGAAAATTTCATTCCTAATATTTCGTCGTACTAATTAAGGATGTTTGATGCTATAAAAACCATTATTTTGTCCATGTGCATGTTTGTGCAAGTGTCTGTGTGTGCACTCATTTGTGTGCTTGTGCGTGTGAGTGTGGTTGAGCACCACTAGTCTTATGTTATTCAGTGAATGTTAATTTTGTCTTTCATCGTGTCTTTTAATTTTATTCTATACAATTTTCCCCATTTCCAAAATCAGTCTTCTAATTCTACAACACTAAGTACATTGTCCTTAATGTTCTGTTCTACTATACTAGGGTCATTGTCCTAAATTTTCTAATTCTACTAAACTAAGTTACTTTTGCTATCAAAACAGTTTGCTTAAAAAGCCGTGTACCATTCTTAGTCTACAGAAAGAGCCACATGGAGAGATTATTATTTCAGAAGTGAAATCATTTAGACTAGTTTGTTAGACTAATATATTTAAGACTAGTATCTGTTAGACTATTATTTGTTAAATTAGTATCTGCTAGACTAGTACTTGTTAGACAAGTATTTGTTAAACTGTGGATCCAGGCAAAACAGATAAACAACTGAACACATTTTCACCATCAGATGCCTATTGGAGAAATGTTATGAATATAAAATCCAAGTACATCAACTCTATGTGGACTACAAAATGGCCTATGACAGCATCAAAAGATAATATCTCAATGAGACTCTACAGGAGTTTGGCATACCCAACAAACTGACAAGATTGATACATGTAACATTGAACAACTCAAAAATCAAAATCAAGGTTCAAGGGAATTTCATATTAGACGAGGCCTGAGACAGGGACACTCAAAATCTTGTCTGCTATTTAACCTAACATTAGAGAGAGTTATAAGAAGCATACATATTGACACCTGAGGAACAATAACAGGATACTTTCTGAGGAAAACTCAAGACCCATGCCCAATGGGCTGTCTCTACAATCAACCCCTTCAGTATTTTGCTTATGCTGATGACATAGCACTGTTAGGGAAAAGGAGTAAAGTTCAGAACTAAGCAGTTTTTTAAACATTCTTTCCAAAAAAAACAACACATTTAAATTGAAATCATAAACAAAATAGTTACAATTACAAAATAATTATGCACTACCACTGATTTGATTAAGTATAACTTTTTGTTCATGTGAGAGACAATTTAACTTCCTCTCTCAAACACTGATCTCAAACACCCATATGATAATATTGACAGAGAACAACAATTCATAATTAAATGGCAGTGACAATTGAACAGATTTATTACCATGGACAATTGAACAGATTTATTACCATAGATAAGTGAACAGATTTATTACCATGGACAATTGAACAGATTTATTACCATGGAAAATTGAACAGATTTATTACCAGGGAGAGTCGAAATGAGATATTACCAAAATATAACAAGTGATAAGATTTATGTAAATATCTAGCGGCTTCTTTTTCCATTTAATAGGAGAACATTAGATATCATTATGAACACAAAATTTCCATTTTCTCTGACGCTAAATGAATGCTGCAACTCAACACACATTATAGAGAAAAACCATAAAAGATAGACAGAAAAAAAACACAACTAGAACCAAAAATATTTCATGATAATCTGAAAAAGTGCAACAAAACTTACTTTGTGTAACGATCATAGAAAGGAGATCTTAGTAGGTACATGACCAACATGAGAGATCGTCTCCTCAGTTCGGCTTGCTCTTGTCGATTAAGTGCTGCAGTATCTCCTATTAAGTAGAGGCTGATGAAGATAAAATGTCTTTGTTTTTAGATAGAAATTCCATTAAAAAAAATTTGCAAGGAAATTATTTGTATTTAAATGCAGAAAGGTTCATCTTCCTGATAATATTCATGTTATATATGTATAATGATCTACTTTATGTAAGAGTAGTTGGGTAAAGATGTTAAACAGATAAATATAAAATACACTAAATGAAAGGGTTCAAATGAATTTCAAGCAAAATTCTTACTTGACGATACAAGTAAGGAAAGCAAGATTTTAGACTGGTACATATCATCAATTATATATTATCAAGTATACTTCATCAGGTATAATTCATCAATTTATTTATGACTGCAAGATAACCTTTTCTTTTGCTGAAAATAATGAGTGACAAAACTAGTGAGTTGAGCATGATACAAGAAGCAGTAAAGCATTTATCTTACCTTGAGACATCAAGACCTGATGAGAGTAGCCAAGGTTTAAAAGAAGATGTGCCATAAATATACAAGCTTGTTACTTGGCTTTAGTTAAGGTCACTTAACTCATTTGTATCAGTGATTTAACTTAAAGTTGCTTAGGAGACCATATGCTGTTACAAAGGTCTCTTATTGTTTGGCATGTACACTTGTTATGAACTGGTTTTATGAGCATGGTCGGGGTGTGGATGGAATGTGGCCGGGTTGTGGATGGAATGTGGTCTGGGTGTGGATGAAATGTGGTCGGGTTGTGGATGGAATGTGGTCGGGTTGTGGATGGAATGTGGTCAGAGTGTGGATGGAATGTGGTCAGGCTGTGGATGGAATGTGGTCAGGCTGTGGATGGAATGTGGTCGAGGTGTGGATGGAATGTGGTCAGGGTGTGGATGGAATGTGGTCAGGGTGTGGATGGAATGTGGTCAGAGTGTGGATGGAATGTGGTCATGGTGTGGATGGAATGTGGTCAGGTTGTGGTCGGAAACACCTACCTTACACGTGGGGGTGTGGGTGGAATGTGGTCTGGTTGTGGATGGAATGTGGTCGGGGTGTGGATGGAATGTGGTCGGGTTGTGGATGGAATGTGGTCGGGTTGTGGATGGAATATGGTCGGGGTGTGGATGGAATGTGGTCGGGTTGTGGTCTGGTTTTGGATGGAATGTGGTCAGGGTGTGGATGGAATGTGGTGGGGGTGTGGATGGAATGTGGTCGGGTTGTGGATGGAATGTGGTCAGGTTGTGGATGGAATGTGGTCAGGGTGTGGATGGAATGTGGTCAGGGTGTGGATGGAATGTGGTCGGGGTGTGGATGGAATGTGGTCATGGTGTGGATGGAATGTGGTCAGGTTGTGGATGGAATGTGGTGGGATGTGGATGGAATGTGGTCAGGGTGTGGATGGAATGTGGTCAGGTTGTGGATGGAATGTGGTCAGGGTGTGGATGGAATGTGGTCAGGGTTTGGATAGAATGTGGTCGGGGTGTGGATGGAATGTGGTCATGGTGTGGATGGAATGTGGTCAGGTTGTGGATGGAATGTGGTCAGAGTGTGGATGGAATGTGATCAGGTTGTGGATGGAATGTAGTCGGGGTGTAGATGGAATGTGGTCGGGTTGTGGATGGAATGTGGTCGGGGTGTGGATTGAATGTAGTTGGGTTGTGGATGGCATGTGGTCGGGGTGTGGATGGAATATGGTCGGGGTGTGGATGGAATGTGGTCGGGTTGTGGATGGAGTGTGGTCGGGGTTTGGATGGAATGTGGTCGGGGTGTGGATGGAGTGTGGTCGGGTTTTGGATGGAATGTGGTCAGGGGGTGGATGGAAGGTGGTGGGGTGCACCTACCTTACACCAGCCCGTGTGGATGGAATGTGGTTGGGTTGTGGATGGAATGTGGTCGGGGTGTGGATGGAATGTGGTCGGGGTGTGGATGGAATGTGGTCGGGTTGTGGATGGAGTGTGGTCCGGTTTTGGATTGAATGTGGTCAGGGTGTGGATGGAATGTGGTGGGGTTGTGGATGGAATGTGGTCGGGTTGTGGATGGAATGTGGTGGGATGTGGATGGAATGTGGTCGGGGTGTGGATGGAATGTGGTCGGGTTGTGGATGGAATGTGGTGGGATGTGGGTGGAATGTGGTTGGGGTGTGGATGGAATGTGGTTGGGGTGTAGATGGAATGTGGTCTGTTGTGGATGGAGTGTGGCCGGGCCGTGGATGGAATGTGGTTGGGGTGTGGATGGAATGTGGTTAGGGTGTGGATGAAATGTGCTCTGGTTGTGGATGCAGTGTGGCAGGGCTGTGGATGGAATGTGGTCAGGGTGTGGATGGAATGTGGTCAGGGTGTGGATGGAATGTGGTCAGGTTGTGGATGGTGTGTGGTTGGAATGTGGTCAGGGTGTGGATGGAATGTGGTCGGCTTGTGGATGGAATGTGGTTGGGTTGTGGATGGAGTGTGGTCAGGTTGTGGATGGAGTGTGGTCGGGTGTGGATGGAATGTGGAATTTGATGAGGCAGGGGTGGGTGGGGAGTGGTGTGGTGATTGGAGTTTCAGCCATCTTGTTTGCTGTTAGCAAGGAATTTCCATTATGTGCAACTTGTGGTTTTGAACAGCATAATATTAAAGAAGAACATGGTAAATAAAGAGCTTGTGTATTTCACCTGGTTTTTTTATTGCTTGTCGTCATCCAGGTTGGAAAGAAGAACAAAAGTATATCATAGAATAATGTTGTTACTCTGGACAACATAGTGCCTGCAAACTGACTAATCAAACTACCTATCATTCAGACTCAGCAAACTGCCTATCAAACAGACTCATCAAACTGCCTATCAAACAGACTTATCAAACAGACTTATCAAACAGACTAATCACACTCCTTACCAAACAGACTCATTAAACTGCCTATCATCTGTCTATCAAACAGGCACATTTATTGGGGGAGGTTTGTTACAATCATACTTTCACTTAAAATGTGGTATAAGTATTAATAAATAAAAAGGATACAGTGAATTAATGGCTTAAAAATATAAATGCATTCTCCCCAAACTTGAGAACGTGACAGCTTTGTAGGTTTGCAATTTTCTTTCAACACAGGTGATGAAACTGATGGTAGTTGAGGAAGTTTCCAGTCTCGAAGGTTCATTGGAGGAGCTAGAAGCATTGAATCTAAGTTAGTTTTATCACATCATTATTATTATTGTAAACGGAATCCTATTTCTAAAAGAAGTTTAGCACAAGATGTGTTGAAATATAGGTTCATAAAACTCAACTCTTTTCTAATGAGCCTGTAGCAAGATTATCACTAGAATCCTACTCCTTTTAAATATTTCGATTTGTTTATAAAAAATATTCTCATCACTACAAATAGGTTAACATTTTTTTTAGCACCAATTTTTGTTAACTTTAAATTGGTCAAAGTCTGATGATTTAAACATAATCAAAATGTTTCACTATGCCAGCAAAAACAGAACATCAGCTGATGATTTAAACATAATCAAAATGTTTCACTATGCCACCATTAACAGAATAGTATCAGCTGGTTATTTCATCAAAAGCAAAATGCTTGGTTTTCACAACAAAATAAATTGTACAAAACTGAATAATTAAAACAGATGAAATTATTTCCGATCTACATGATGTAGAAAATAGCATCTTCCCTTCCAATGATAGCTTCAAGACAATACAGCACAGATGAATAGTTCATCTCACACTATAGCACAAATAAACAGTTCATCTCACAATATAGCACCAATGAATAGTTCATCTCACAATATAGCACCAATGAATAGTTCATCTCACAATATAGCACCAATGAATAGTTCATCTCACAATATAGCCCCAATGAATAGTTCATCTAACAATATAGCACAGATGAATAGTTCATCTCACAATAAAGCACCAATAAATAGTTCCTCACAATGTTTAAGGAATGAATAGTTCATATGACAATTAGCACCAATAAATACTTCATATCACAATGTAACACCAATGAATAGTTCATCTCACAATATAGCACCAATGAATAGTTCATGACACAGTATAACTCTAGTTAACAAAATCTCCATTATCACTATACAAAGGATAACTTCCGGCTACAACAAGATGGCGGTATAATAATACACAAAAGGAAGGAATTTTTATTTTAAAAAAAATTAGTTATAGGAAAGTCATTTAAGTGCAATATATATTAAAGACTCTTGCCGGAATTTTTATTTATAAGGGTGTGTACAAGAAGAGGTAGTAACCCTGATGGGAGAAAACGATGTGCTCCTGGGAACAATTCGTCCACCTTGGTCCTCTCCCGTCACTCAACTCTCACCTGTGCATCCCCTCAGCTGTTAGCAAGCAACAGCGGCCATACCCTGGGCAACGGCTTCCATTCACTGGGTAAACCAGGTGAGGGTAGCTATTTGGCCTAAAACCCTTGGTGATTTAGGACTGCCTACCTACTGCATGTGAAACCTGGAAGTTGACGGATCCTGCAAAGGAGACCATTTAGGTTCAACAAAGGTGAAGGCGATTACAGCAACGCACCGTGGAGTGTGCAGAGCAAGATGAGGCATGTAGAACATCTTGGTCATCCACTGCATCTGTACCCATCTCCGGTCGTCTCGACTTAGTCTTGCCACTGGACACGGTGGGTCCGGAAGAGAGAGTGAGGTTGACGATGCGCAACTCTTCCTCACTTTAAACAAAGTCACCAACACAAGTCATTAGTCATCTATTTGCTTACCGGATGACTCGATGTTCCTAGTCGATTTTGATGGACGAACAACAACAACAACATAGCACTAATGAATAGTTCATATCACAATGTAACACCCATGAATAATTCATGACACAATATAGCACCAATGAATAGTTCATAATCACAATATAGCACCAATGAATAGTTCATCTCACAATGTAGCACCAATGAATAGTTAATCTCACCTGTGGCCATTGACCTCATAACTTTTCCAGATCTTTTCAATGTGAAGGTCACAGATGGAATGGGACCATTGGTAGCAGTCTGAGTCTTGCCTTGGTTATTCTAAAGAATGGCAGATGCACAAATTTCAATGCTTTGCTTAGGATTTAATTGGCAGTAAGATTGGTTTTTAGCTTCTGCACTACTCAATTTAGGCCACTGGCAACATTTCTACTAGACACCGACCAAAAGTGATTTTCTGATTTCGGCAGAACCGAAAATAAGCCGAAAGTTAAAAAATGACTTTCGGCCGAAACCGAAATAGGCCAAAAGTTAAAAAATGACTTTCGGACGAAACCGAAATATTTAGATACTTTGATATTCGTTCCCGCATACATTCTGTATACATCGCAAATGATGGGGGAAAGTATCAATATTTACATTCTTTTTATAAAAATGAGATAATCGTGAATATTAATAAATAAACATCTAATATAGAGGTCTCAAACTCTCGGCCCGCGAGCCATTTGTGACCCACAGATGATATTTTGCGGCCCGCTACATGGCAGCAAAGTTTAGTGTTAATGCGCCGGTGCGTTTTCCCCATTCTCATATCTATAACGTGACTCTCCGCGACGGTTTCAGTCGAATGTCACCGATTAGTCTAATTCTGATTTTTAAAATGTTTCTATATATTTTTGTATGATTATAATGGTAAGAACCATTTTAAAAATCGGAATTAAAGTTTCTATTTTATAGCTTTTTATGAGACAAACATGGTATAAGAGTGCGGCTTTGAAAAAAGTTTTTAAAAGTAAGTTGGCAGGTAATGCACAACCATAATTGTGTAAATCGTAGCAATCTGATACATTATCAAAGGATCCATATTAAAATTGCCACTAGTGTTTACGAGTGAGGGAAATTCCGAGCCTGTCAGCTTGGTCATTTTCAAAATCTTCATCTTTTGCCTTTTTACCCAGTCTGGGGCATAGGCCCTCCACAAGAAATCTCCATTCATCACGGTTCTGTGCTTTTCTTTCCAGGTGTATCCCATATTTTGCGTGTCTGCCTCTAGCTCGCGCCTCCATGTATTCTTTGGCCTTCCTCTCTTTCCTTTTCCTTGTGGATTCCATGTTAGGAATTGTCTGGTGATGCTATCTGGGGTTTTTCGGAGAGTATGTCCTATCTATCTCCTTCTTTTCTTTAAGACGTCTTCGTCGATGGGCACCTGGTGAGTAATTTCTAGTAGATCTTTGTTGGTGATAATGTTTGGCCATTTGATGTTCAGGATCTTTCTAAGGCATGTGTTTATGAAGGTCTATACGTTCTGCGTAATGCTGGCTGGCCATTGTTTTCCAAGTTTCTGCTCCATATAGTAGGACTGTCCTTTAAAATACAGTTAGTCAAAAAGGCCTTTACTACAATAAAATGTCAAAATTCATTCTACCTACAATAGCTGCTTCCTTCGCATCAATAATTCATAAATATGGCCTGCTCCTGCCTACTGCTTGACACATTTTAGCATTTGTTCCTGTACTAAGTGATCCCAAATGGCTCATGGACTTGGATTTTCTTGTTGACATTACACAGGAGGTGAATGTACTCAACAAGAAGTTACAAGACCAGGGGTAGCTTGTCAGTGTTGCTCATGACAATTTCAGGGCTTTCTGCACAAAATTTGTGTTATGGTTCTTATAGAACCCTCTTCCATTTCCCAATATGAAAAGTACTCATGGACTCAGGCACACCCTTCAGTAGTAACTTAGTAGTAAGTATACTGCTGCCATTGCAAAGCTACAGAAAGAATTTGATCACATTTTTTAGACTTCAAAACACAGAAAGCCACTTTTCAGCTTTATGCTGACCCTTTGTCCTTTAATGTGTAAGATGCCCCGAGCGGAGATCTGAATCGAAAAACAGACAAGCATGGACATTTTATTGCATTGCCCTCCACCTTCCCTGACATTTTTAGGTTGTTCAAGTGGATCATATGACTTTTTGAGAGTACCAATCTGTGTGAAAAGCTCTTTTCCACTATGCACTTTAAAAAGTCAAAGTTCAGTGCCAAACTTACTGATGAGCATCTTCAAGCTATACTGAGGGTCTCAGTTGCTTCCTCACTCAAGCCAAAGTTGCTCAGCAGTCAGGGCCAAACTTACTGATGAGCATCTTCAAGCTATACTGAGGGTCTCAGTTGCTTCCTCACTCAAGCCAAAGTTGCTCAGCAGTCAGGGCCAAACTTACTGATGAGGATCTTCAAGCTATACTGAGGGTCTCAGTTGCTTCCTCACTCAAGCCAAAGTTGCTCAGCAGTCAGGGCCAAACTTTCTGATAAGGATCTTCAAGCTATACTGAGGGTCTCAGTTGCTTCCTAACTCAAGCCAAATGTTGTTCAGCAGTCAGGGCCAAACCTACTGATGAGCATCTTCAAGCTATACTGAGGGTCTCAGTTGCTTCCTCACTCAAGCCAAATGTTGCTCAGCTGTATAAAAGGATGCGCTGCCAAGTCCCTGGCAACAGTGAGTGGGTGGAAGAAAGTGAATCCTAGTTCTTGAGAACCCTTCATGTTTTTATTTGTTATTTATAAAGGTTGAGCAGATCGTAACTGTTGTACTTTAATGAATTTGTAATCGCTTTTTTGTGGAATACTTGATGCGGCTCAGTCTCACTCAGACGCTACCTCTTGCGGCCCTCCTGATGATTTGAGTTTGAGACCCTTGATCTAATGAATACTTTGGATTTTACCATTTTAATATAAAAGTAATTTAAATTGCTTTACAATTGTTAAAAATTAGTATGTTAGGAGAAAATTTGGCATAAATGGGTGGGGGGGGGGCAAAATTAATTCAAAATAGACTCTTGAGTGCCCTTTGCTTTTATAATTTCAACCTAGAAAATATACCTACAATAATTATTGGGCTCTAATAGAGCCAATTGCCACCTAAATATATGTTATTAAGGCTACAAAAATATCACCACAATGTTTTGATGTTTTCGTAATACTAATGCTTTGTGTTTTCATTAAAAGCTTGCAAGATATCACTGTATTAATGTCTAACCTAGTAACAACACACTAGTCTTTCCGTGCTGGTGACGTACTTATTTTGTTCGGAGACCAACCTCCCTCACCCCCATTGGTGGAGAAAATTATTTTTTTCAACAGTGTCTCTTAAAATTGTTGCTCTGATAATGGTTCTCAAAGATCGCTAAATTTGTTCTTAAAGATCGCTTTATTTGTTTTTAAAGATCGTTTAGTTTGTTCTGAAAGGATTGCTTAGTTTGTTCTGAAAGATTATTTAGTTTGTTCTTAAAAATCGTTTAGTTTGTTCTTAAAGATCATTAAGTTTGTTGTTAATGATCGGTTAGTTTGTTCTTAAAGTTTGTTTAGTTTGTTCTTAAAGATCATTAAGATTGTTTTTAATAATTGGTTAATTTGTTTTAAAGATCGTTGAGTTTGTTCATAAAGATCGCTTAGTTTGTTCTAAAAGATTGCTTAGTTTAATCTTAAAGGTCGCTTAATTTATTCTTAAAGATCTCTTAGTTTGTTGTTAAAGATCAATTAGTTTGTTCAAAAAAGATTGATAAGTTTTTTCTTAAAGATTGCTTAGTTTGTGTTATTAAAAGATTGTTTAGTTTGTTCATAAAGATTGCTTAACTTGTTCTTAGAGATCAGTGATTTTATTCTTAAATATCGCTTAGTTGGTCTTAAAGATCATTCAGTTTGTTCTTAAAGATCATGTAGTTTGTTTTGATAGATCTTTTAGTTTGTTATTAAAGATCGTTTAGTTTGTTCTTAAAGGTCGCTTATTTTGTTGTTGAAAATCACTTAAAGATGACTTAGTTTGTTCTTAAAGATAATTTATTTTGTTCCTTAAGATCGATTAGATTGTTCTTAGTTTTTTCTTTAGGATAATTTAGTTTGTTCTTAAAGAACATTTAGTTTTCTGTTAAAGATCGCTTAGTTTATTCTTATAAATCATTTAGTTGACTATTAAAGATCATTTGTTTGTTCTTAAAGATCATTTAGTTCATTTTTAAAAATCGTTTAGTTTGTTATTAAAGATCGCTTAGTTTGTTCTTAAAGATTGTTTAGTTTGTTATTAAATGTTGCTTAGTTTGTTGTTAAATATCGCTTTTGCTGAGTATCTGTCATATATAACATACAATGACAGCAAGACGTTGATCACTAATGAATATCAGATTGTCGGCCTAGAGACAGACAGACCATCTGACTTCTGGTAGATGACTGACTCTAAGTCAATTTCGGCCGAAACCGAAAATAAACCTAAAGTTAACTTTTCTCTTTCGGCTGAAACCGAAATTAAGCCAAAAGTTAACTTTTCAGTTTAAACCGAATTGCCACTTTCATTACTGAAACCGAAGCCGAAATTCGGTCGGTCTCTAATTTCTACATACAAAAATGATATTTACTGCACAGTTAGTTACTGCACAGAAATCTCCCCTGATAATCAGCTTGCCAAATAATAAAATACTGAGATCCCCACCTTGCACATCAAGTTAAGGAAATATAATTAGATAGATTCAAATTATTTTTTTTTTCTAAATAAATTTGAATAATTTATATTTTTAAGATTATTTTCAAGTTTACAAATTGAATCATTTAACAACAAATTACATTTACTTGGTCACTCTGCTTCTGGACCACAGCTTGCTTCAGAATAGCTTCCCTGTCTATTGGAGCCAGAGGTGGCACCGCTTGTATTCCTACATTGTGCTTGACAAACAGCAAAAATCGACAGATGGATCTAATACACACACAAAAAAGAAGTAATATAATTATTAATTTTGAAGAAAATATTTTAATTTAATTATTCCTATAATCTCAATTTCACAGTCGCCAGTACTGTCTAGAAAACAAGTTTCTTGGTTGTTGTTGTTAGACATTTGGTGTAAAGGATAAAATATAAGAGACAGAGGCAGCCATGCTTGGGTTGTTTTTTGAGACAAGTATAACCCATTTGGTTTCTAAGTCTATATCATATATATATATATATATAAAAGTGCAAGTTTGTTTGTTTGTGGCGGTGTCTGTTTGTTCCACAAAGGCTTTTACGTGGATTGATGGATCTTGACCAAACTTGGCATATATATCCTGAAGAAACTCTTAAGGGGTTATGATCTTTTTCTAACAAATTCGTTTTTTTTCCTTATTTGAGCGATATAAAAAAAATTATTAAATAATACTCCTACATGAATGGATGGATCTTGACCAAACTTAGTACACATTCACTTTATTATCCATCTTCATATACCGACGGGGAATGAACTCATAATACCCATTCATATGCTCATCATTTATCGGTGGATTTAAAACTAATAATATCCATTCTAGAATTTTCCAGAAAGCTAGATAATTTTAAAAAGCTATATCTAGGGCATTTTTAAGTAGATTTTAATGGGACCAATTTTAAATTTTAACTCCATTATTTATTAGTCTGATATTTGTAGGGCCCACCATCTTAGACATAACTAAAAAGGTACTTTATTAAATGGACCCCTATTTTAATTGAAGTTTACTATAGTTATAGTAGTGCAAATTAGTTGTATAATATTTCGTATTTGATAAATAATTACATAGAAAAGTAATTTTTTTATACTTTTCAAGGAGGGTATTCAATTTAATCTAGAATTTTCCAGAAGGTTCTTTAATGTTCTACGGGGATATATAATGGAATGTAAATGCTTATTTGAACCAAATCGCACTGAGCATGATCCAAAAGAGGAATAGGATCCTAATGGGGATCGAGATCCAAACAGTAAACTGGAACCCATCGGTTACGCGATCCCATCGGCAGGGCCACCGTTAGGCCACTGCAACCTATGTGGCCGCAGTGGGCCCCACACTTTCATAGGCCTCGCGCTAATTCTAGGTGTAAATAATTAAATTAAACCATTATAACTTATAATCATGTATAGGTCAGAGTGTTTATTCTGTTTTTATGTTTTTACAGTGTTTTTTAATCTATTACGTCGTTGTTTCAAGTGATTACGACAATTAAATAAAATGGAACAAAATTGTAGCTGTTCGGGTGCTTTATCTCTAAACTCATCATTTAGGGAAACTTGGGGTAATAAGATGAAACAGTTCTTAACCTTATGATGGCTCAGCTCAGTGAAACCAATCAAATAGGAGGAGCTATTTATGGAGATGATGTTATCCATTTTTTGGATGAACATTTTGAAATTTACCAGCAGTGGTTTAAATTTTCTCTTTTCTGCCAGATGAAGATTTTTTCACCGGTGAGTAAAGCTTGTTCCTCAGAAACAAGCGTTGTATAAAATTCGAAGATCCTGTACATTGATAACCCACGCTATGTTAACAGTCAGCCATAGAACCATCGGCACGTCAACTTGTATCTTAATACAATTTGTTTTATGAATAGTCTCTCATTTCAAATGTTTAAGATTGTTTTACAAAATAAAATAATGTGATTCGTCTACCCAAACGATTGTTTCATCTTACTCGAAGAAAGGGTAAGATAACAAAAAAATTTTTTTCACACACACTTGCTCAAAACGTACAGATTCATCCCTAAGCGACAAGCGCATGCATATGCAGATCATTAACAATAATTTGACTGAAAATTACAGGTAAAAAGCAAAAAATGTGGATTTGACAAAGGAATTTAAAAAAGTGGTTCATCTTACCCAAGTTCCCCGAAATTGGTAGACTTTAGGTATTTTTTCAAATTCTATTTACTCGTAATCAAATGTACATGTGACATAATCAAATGCAAATTTTTGTTCAAACATTAAATCACGTAATCAAATACAATAGCAACGTAATAAATCGGTAAATACTTTATTTTGTTCATTTTTCATTTTTTTTTATTCTGCTATATTTTGCAGGTTTTTGGTGTGAGGTGGATAGAAAATTACCTAAAAGGTCAAGAGACGTTTGTAGAAAATATGTATCTGGCTGGGAAAAGAAAAAGAAGAAGGAAGCAAATGAGGCTTCAGCTAATAACCAGAAGGGCGCCCTACATAAGTTTTTAAAATGATCAAAACCCGAAAATGAGAACATGACCACTTCTAGTGAGACAGCCAAAACAGATTCTATGAAGAATGCAAAAAATGCAGTGGAGAATGTCATAAGAGAAGAAGACAATGATGTAACACTTACAACTGATCAACATGTGGTTATGGGTAATGAACAAAATATGGTCGATCCACTGAGAAATCTGGATGATCCTGCCATGTGGCCAGAAAAAATCTTGTATAGACTATTTGTTACAAAAAGGTCCAACTGAGATTACTTTGGAGAATTTTCCGAAAAATAAGGATGGTAGGCATTTCTCTAAAGTGCATTGCAAACAAAAGCTGAGTAATGGTGAAAGTATTTTGCGTCCTTGGCTGATATATTCTGTGTCAGCAGACAAGATCTATTATTTCTAATGTCGCCTACTGGGGAAAAAAAAGCTCCTTTTTAAATGAAGGATTTAACCAGTGACAAAACTGTACTGCATGGCTAGCAGAACATTAAAAATCGCAAGGGCATTTAGACGCCATGACTTGTTGCTGTGAAGCTGGAGCAAGACTAAGTAAAAAAACAGGCATTGACAAAATTCACCAGGAGATGCTTTATTCTGAGACTAAACGTTGGAATCAAGCTTTTCAAAGACTAGTTGTGATTGTACAATTTCTAGCGGAGTGCAATTTAGTTTTCAGAGGGACCATTGAAAGAGTTGAAGAGCCAAGTAATGGGAATTTCCTGGGTCTAATAGAATTACTCGCAAAGTTTAATCCAGTAATGGGGGAACATCTTCGACGTGTTACCAATGCAGAAATTCATGATCATTACCTGGGAAAGAAGATTGAAAACGAACTCATTACTGTAGTAGCTGATGCTGTTGGGAATGCTATCCTGCGAGACATCAAGAATGCAAAGTCTTTTTCAGTGATATTGGATTGTACTCCAGACATAAGTCACAAAGAGCAGATATCATTCACTATCTGGTATGTATCAGATGGGGTTAATGTGAAAGAGCCTGCGGTTATACATGAACGTTTTATTAAGTTTCTTCCTGTGGAAAGTACTACCGGGCAGGACTTATGGGATGTACTAGTGAATAAGCTGGAGAAACTTGAATTAAATGTTAAAAATATTCGTGGACAAGGTTATGATAATGGTGCGAACATGAAAGGTATCCATTCTGGAGTTCAAAAACGGCTTTTAAATATTAACAGCAGAGCATTTTTTACTCCATGTGCGTGTCATAATTACAATCTGGCGGTAGCAGACATGGTCAAAACATGCCCTGATGCGTTACCCTTTTTTGGAACTATACAACGCGTATACACTATGTTTTCAGCATCTACAAAGAGATGGTCATTATTCAGAAAGCATGTTTCCAATCTGTCTGTAAAAGCTCTGTGCGAAACATGGTGGGAATGTAGAATAGATAGTGTCAAAGCACTTCATTATCAATTGCCTGAAATTTGTGACACACTCAATGAATTAGCTGAGGAGACTAATGATGCGATAATTAAAAGTGAAGCAGAAACACTGTATGAAACATTAAAGCAGTAGAAATTCTTAGTGTCACTTGTGTTATGGTATCACATGCTCTTCCAAGTCAATTTTGTGAGCAAAGAACTGCAAGGTGAAATAGTAGATTTGAGTACTGCAATGGATTCGTACAACAACTTGATGACTTGGCTAAGGAAACTGAGAGTTGATGGGATTATTCAGATTCTTGTTACAGCAAAGGAAATGGCTAAAAACATGGACGTTGTTGCAATCTTTCCAGCCAAACGTCAAAGGAAAAGGCAGTATGATAAATCTGTGGAAAACTTCACACCTGGAAATGCTGAAGATGACTACAGGATAAATTGCTTCAACAGAATTGTGGACACTGCAATTCAATCCTTGCAGCCGAGATTTGAACAGCGGAAATCAAACCACAATCTATTTGGGTTTCTTGTCAGCTTCAAGAGCCTTCAGCATGATGACATACAAAAGTTTACAGCGAGCCTCGAGCAAGCATTGACGTCATCAACAGACCAGTCAGCAGTTATATATGGGCGAGAATTAGCAGATGAAATGGAATCTTTAAGGCATATTCTACCAAATACCGCCAAAACCCCGGTAGAAATTTTGGCTTATATGTCCACTAATGAAAGATACACTGCTGTCCCAAACTACTTTGTTGCACTCAGAATATTTTTAACAATACCCGTAACTGTGGCATCTGGTGAAAGAAGCTTCTCGCACCTCAAACTAATGAAGAATTATTTGAGGTCAATAATTCACGAAGATAGATTGAACAATTTGGCAATTCTTGCTATTGAGCGTGATCTATGTAGGAAACAGAATTTTGATGATATACTGTGTGACTTCGCCACACGCACGGCTCGTAAAGTAAAGTTAATTTGATCGTGATTTTTTACTTAGTAAAGAATTAATAAAATGCAAAGACGAATTTATTTTCTAATAAAAGTTCTTAATTTTCACTTATTATCCTTATCCCTACCCAGACTGGGCCCCGCGCAATCCGCTTCGCATAGGGCCTCGCAATTGTTAGGGATGGCCCTGCCCATCGGGTAACACAATCAAACCAGGATCGGGATCTATCGGGAAAAGGGATAACATCGGCAAAGATATTGCCTAGGTGGAACGGGATCCATCAGCGTACGGTATCTTACTGGGATCAGTAGTCCATCGGCATCCACCGACATGTCTTGATCCCAATGGGATCAAGACATTGACAGGATCGGGATCCCACCAGGATCTGGATTCCCCCTGGAAACGTAGCCACAAGAAAACGGGATCCCACCAGGAACGGGATCACACCTGGGAAAGGGATTGCGCCGGGATCGTGGTGAGAATGGGATTGGGGTCCCATTGGGATTGGTGTCTTACCCAGATGGGGGTCCTAATGCAAGCCCCCGTGCAACGCGGGGTATATTGGCTAGTATAATAAAAATATCAATTTATTTTTAAGTCTATATATATGAAGAGATCAAGTTAAGAGAAAAAAATAAATAAGTAGAGCTAAGCTAACTATATTTATAAATGATATCCATTGGTGCTGGTTTAACAAGTAAGAGTCAGTAATTTGTATTAGTCAGTACTGTTTAAGTAAATCTCTAACCACTATTACTATTAGTATCTAGCATAATGTTTACAGGTAAATCTCTAATCACTATTACTATTAGTATCTAGCGTAATGTTTACAGGTAAATCTCTAATCACTATTACTATTAGTATCTAGCATAATGTTTACAGGTAAATCTCTAATCACTATTAGTATCTAGCATAATGTTTACAGGTAAATCTCTAATCACAATTAGTATTAGGGGTGTGCCGGAATCCGGTCCGGAATCCGGTTCCGCCGGATTTTGCATTATCCGGTGAAATCCGGTTCCGCCGGATTTACATGTATCCGGAACAACCGGAATCCGGAATATACCGGATTTCGGAATTTGCCAGATTTTGTGACTCACCGGATCCAGACCTGTTTACTCTTACAATATTGGCGTAACAATGTACGATTTTTAGATGTCTTTTACGATTGTACGCCAAAACCCTCCAAAACTACGATTTTCAGAGACCCGGTGGAAAAAATTTTTCCCCCCTTTTTAAAAAAATTAATAATTTTTCGGGTTTGGATGTTTTAGCCCTCTCTAATGGGTGCTGGGTACTACATAGGCCTCAAGATGGTGTAGTTAGATCTGCTTCAATCACACAGGAGCTGTCCTCTGACCACTTCTGTGTTATTTGTGAACTTAGTGTTAGTGGCCCCAACCCTCCCCCTCAGTTTAGGGAGGTGCGCAGTCTGCGAGCTATAAACAGGGATGCATTTAAGCATGACCTAAGCGTAGAAGTGTCCCCTGCCCTCTGCCCTACATTGGAATCACTAGACCGTGCATTGCGCGCTGTGCTTGACCGACACGCCCCTGTCACCCGCCGCAATTTTAGTCTAAAGCGGTCATCTCCCTGGTATGCGACCATCAAGGAGGAACTACGCAGTGCCAAGAAAGAGCGCCGTAGTGCAGAAAAGAAGTGGTTAAGGTCAGGTCTTGTGGTTTTTAAGCAGATATTTTACGCTGCCAAGAAGCGTGTCAATCAGATTGTTTGTCGTGCAAAGACTACGTATTTTAGCCAAAAGATAACTATGGGTAAAACCAGCAGGCAGTTGTTTGATGTTTGTGGTCACCTTAGGGGGAGTAACAAAGGAACTGCGCTTCCTTCGGTGTTTCCCCTGCCCAAGCAACCAGATATTTTCTGTAATTTCTTTACAAGCAAAGTAGCTGACATTCGAGCTGAGCTTGATCGTCTTGATGCCCCTCCCCTTGAATTGCCTCCTTTCCCTTGTCTTACTTCCCATTTTAATATTTTTAAACCTGTTTCAGAACTTGAGGTAAAAAATATAATCCTAAAATCTAAACATACGTCATGTTATTTGGATCCCATCCCAACCCCCCTGTTGGTTGAGTCATTAGATATCTTGCTCCCAACAATAACCCGCATAATAAATGAAAGCTTATATTCTGGCACTGTTCCGCCTCTTTGCAAATCAGCTGTCATCAAACCATTGCTTAAGAAGCCCGGTCTGGATGAAAATAATTTAAAAAACTATAGACCTGTATCTAACTTATCATTTTTATCTAAAGTTATTGAAAAACTAGTCCTAAAACAACTTTTTGCTTACTTAAATGATCACTCTCTTCTCAGTTCTAATCAGTCGGCCTATAGACATTTCCATAGCACGGAGACAGCTCTCTTGAGAGTCAGTAATGACCTCTTGCGCGCAATGGACAGCGGTAATGTCTCCATTTTGATCCTCTTAGACCTCAGTGCGGCCTTTGACACTGTTGACCATGAAATCCTTTTCAAAACCCTTGAAAACTACTTTGGAATTTCTGGTTCGGTTTTGGCTTGGTTTAGGTCCTACCTCTCTGATAGAACGCAAATGGTCTCTGTCGATGGCTGTCTCTCCGGCAGTGCTGATTTGGTGTACGGAGTGCCACAGGGGTCCGTTTTGGGTCCGGTTCTATTCATAATGTATACCAGACCACTACTCCTCTTGCTCGGGAGGCATGCTGTTGAGAACCAGTCATTTGCAGATGATACACAGCTATACATGCATACCCATCCATCTCTTGTCGATTCCGCTGTCCAGACTTTGCGGGGGTGCATTGATGATGTCAAGTCTTGGATGACACTCAGCAAGTTGAAGCTTAATGATGACAAAACAGAAGCACTCCTCATTTACAATCACAAATCATCCTCTACCTCAACTCTTCCCACCTCATTTCAAGTAGGTAACTCCGACATACAGTTTACACCCTCTGCTAGGAATCTTGGTTATATTCTTTCTAACAACATGTCTCTCGATAAACATATCTCTCACATTTGTCGTTCGGCATACACCGCCATCCGTCAGATCAGCTCCATCCGCCACTACCTGACAGTTAGCGCAACAAAAACTCTAGTCTGTGCTCTTGTTCTCTCTCGTCTTGACTATTGCAACTCACTTCTGTCAGGTTCACCGAAACATTTTATAGAAAAACTGCAGAAAGTTCAAAACTCTGCTGCTAGGCTTGTTCTTAAGGCAAAAAAACGCGATCACGTCACTCCACTACTCCACTCACTACATTGGCTCCCTATACAGGCACGCATTGACTACAAGCTGTCTCTTCTCTGTCACAACTTTTTCTCGGATTCCTGCCCTTCCTATCTAACTGAACTTCTTTCTGTCTATTCACCCCTTCGACAACTTCGCTCCTCCGCAGACTCGCGTATTCTGTCCGTTCCCAAGACACGCACTAAATTATATGGTGAACGATCTTTCTCTTTCTGCGCCCCCAAACAATGGAATTCTTTGCCACTACACATCCGCAATATAACAACCACACAGGCCTTCAAAACTGCACTCAAAACACATCTATTTAAACTATACTACTCTGACTGATTCTCCTCCTATAAACCGATAAACGTACATGGGTTTCCTTGTAAAAATGTCTGGTGTGGGTGGATGAATATACCTATGGTGTTGTTTTGCTTATATGTTGTTTTTATTTCATTTATGTATTTTATTTTAATATTATGACTATGCCTCTTTGCTATATATGTACAGCGCGGTGAGCCCAGCCCTAGGCCGGGGTACCGCGCTATATAAGACCACTTATTATTATTATTATTATTATTATTAATGAAGATCTGGCAGTGAATATGAACGAGAAAAACGATTGGTTGGATTTTTTTTTTTTTTTAAAGTTGGGACCATCCTTATTATATTTCGAAAGCACTCATGGGACTGGGGAGGTGGGGTTGTTGATGACGGAAATTGTGGCATACGAGACACGCATGGGTAGGGGATTGGTGGGAGTGTCAAAGGATATAAATAAATAACCCCGACGTATCGTATTGACGGGATCACAGTGAACTAGCTGGCTGCTGCGTCAACAGTAATATTTGGATTGGTCGCCCTAGCGACAACTTCACCCGCCATCGCCTTTGACTGCTAGCAAGCGTGTGACGTAGTTTTGGTACATAATTATTTTGTTCCTCAGAACCGCGGCGATTGTAAAACTAGAGATGGTTTTTAAAATAAAATAGATGATCCAACTGTTCTGCAATGGAGCGTTGGATTTTGGCATACCGGTATTTTATAAGATCCAGTCAGCGACATTTACAAAATATATGGAAATATTTTATAGTTTTATTTATTTACTATAAAGATATTGTATTGTATGATTTTGAGACCAGATTGTACGATTTTAGGGGTTTGAGGGTAAACAGGTCTGCCGGATCATAATCTGAAATAAAAGTAATTCTCTTTCCCGAATTCCACACGATCACGATACATTAAAAAAAATCGATTGTTTCGAGCGTTGAGCTTGTTTAATGTTTAATATTCCGAACATACCAGAGGCTAGAGTCAGCACCGCTAATAGTGGCCAATCGGCCCAATCCCATACCTGATAGTGCCAACTGTTCAAAAGGCATCCAACCCCTCAGATTTAGCGGTATCTGCAAAGTACCAGAATCCGGAATCCGGGAGAAACCGGAATCCGGATTATTCCGGAATCCGGATTATTCCAGAATCCGGATTATTCCAGAATCCGGATTATTCCGGAATCCGGATTATTCCGGAATCCTGATTATTACGGAATCCGGATCCAAATCCGGCGGATTTTGCATAAGAAAATCCGGATCCGGTTGAAAAAAACGGATCCGGCACACCCCTAATTAGTATCTAGCATAATGTTTACAGGTAAATCTCTAACCACTATTAGTATCTAGCATAATGTTTACAGGTAAATCTCTAATCACTATTAGTATCTAGCATAATGTTTACAGGTAAATCTCTAACCACTATTAGTATCTAGCACAAAGCAAATCCATACTTTTAATACCTATCATAATGTTTACAAGTAAATCTCTAACCCCTATTAACTATTAGTACCTATCATAATATTTACAAGTAAATCTCTAACCCTTATTAACTATTAGTACCTATCATAATATTTACAAGAAAATCTCTAACCACTATTAACTATTAGTACCTATCATAATATTTACAAGTAAATCTCTAACCCCTATTAACTATTAGTACCTATCATAATATTTACAAGTAAATCTCTAACCCAAATTAACTATTACTATCTATCATAATGTTTACAAGTAAATCTCTAACCCCTATTAACTATTAGTACCTATCATAATGTTTACAAGTAAATCTCTAACCCTTATTAACTATTAGTATCTATCATAATGTTTACAAGTAAATCTCTAACCCCTATTAACAATTAGTATCTATCATAATATTTACAAGTAAATCTCTAACCCCTATTAACTATTAGTATCTATCATAATATTTACAAGTAAATCTCTAACCCTTATTAACTATTAGTACCTATCATAATGTTTACAAGTAAATCTCTAACCCCTATTAACTATTAGTACCTATCATAATATTTACTAACCCCAATTAACTATTAGTACCTATCATAATATTTACAAGTAAATCTCTAACCCCTATTAACTATTAGTACCTATCATAATATTTACAAGTAAATATCTAACCCCTATTAACTATTAGTACCTATCATAATATTTACAAGTAAATCTCTAACACCTATTAACTATTAGTATCTATCATAATATTTACAAGGAAATCTCTAACTCTTATTAACTATTAGTATCTATCATAATATTTACTAACCCCTATTAACTATTAGTACCTATCATAATATTTACAAGTAAATCTCTAACCCCTATTAACTATTAGTACCTATCATAATATTTACAAGTAAATCTCTAACCCCTATTAACTATTAGTACCTATCATAATATTTACAAGTAAATCTCTAACACCTATTAACTATTAGTATCTATCATAATATTTACAAGTAAATCTCTAACCCCTATTAACTATTAGTAGCTATCATAATATTTACAATTAAATCTCTAAACCCTATTAACTATTAGTATCTATCATAATATTTACAAGTAAATCTCTAACCCCTATTAACTATTAGTATCTATCATAATGTTTACAAGTAAATCTCTAACCCCTATTAACTATTAGTAGCTATCATAATGTTTACAAGTAAATCTCTATCCCCTATTAACTATTAGTATCTATCATAATGTTTACAAGTAAATCTCTAACCCCTATTAACAATTAGTATCTATCATAATATTTACAAGTAAATCTCTAACACCTATTAACTATTAGTATCTATCATAATGTTTACAAGTAAATCTCTAACCCCTATTAACAATTAGTATCTATCATAATATTTACAAGTAAATCTCTAACCCCTATTAACAATTAGTATCTATCATAATATTTACAAGTAAATCTCTAACCCCTATTAACTATTAGTAGCTATCATAATGTTTACAAGTAAATCTCTATCCCCTATTAACTATTAGTATCTATCATAATGTTTACAAGTAAATCTCTAACCCCTATTAACAATTAGTATCTATCATAATATTTACAAGTAAATCTCTAACCCCTATTAACAATTAGTATCTATCATAATATTTACAAGTAAATCTCTAACCCCTATTAACTATTAGTATCTATCATAATATTTACAAGTAAATCTCTAACCCCTATTAACTATTAGTATCTATCATAATGTTTACAAGTAAATCTCTAACCCCTATTAACTATTAGTAGCTATCATAATGTTTTCAAGTAAATCTCTAACCCCTATTAACTATTAGTATCTATCATAATATTTACAAGTAAATCTCTAAACCCTATTAACTATTAGTATCTATCATTATATTTACAAGTAAATCTCTATCCCCTATTAACCTATTAGTATCTATCATAATGATTACAAGTAAATCTCTAACCCCTATTAACTATTAGTATCTATCATAATATTTACAAGTAAATCTCTAACCCCTATTAACTATTAGTACCTATCATAATGTTTACAAGTAAATCTCTAACCCCTATTAACTATTAGTATCTATCATAATGTTTACAAGTAAATCTCTACTGTTAATGTCTAGCATAATATTGACAAAAACATTAAACCATTGACCTGATTGCCTTTTTGACATACAACACACTTTTTCTTTTCACAACAGAAGCAACATTATATAAAAACTGTTAATAACAATCATGTGTCCTAATGTTAGAAACACCATAACATGCAGTTATAAAGAGAGAACTTACTTTGCAATTTGTAGAACTGTAATAGCCACCCATTTACCAACATCTCCATAGAGCCTCTGAGCTGTTATTTCAATAAAAACACCAACATACTCTAAAACTGTCACCAGGCTCTGGAGTCTTTCTTGTGATGCTGACTTCAGGTCAAAAGCAAACATATGGCAAAATGTTAGTTTTTAAAAAATTAGAACAAAACAGAAAATATGAAATTTTTAATGTTAAAATCACAATTATAAATTATGTTAACCACTTGAATTATATCAACATAAACATCCATATAATGGGAATATGTGAGTTGTATATATCAGATAAGGGACAATTTATTTAGGATATTTATTTGTTCTTTTCAGAATATGAAATAAAAATGACTTGTTTCTTAACAATGCAAAGAGAATAAAATAAAAGACATTAAGATCAGAGTGTATTAGAAAATGATACTGGTGATTTTGAAAATGGTAAGGCTCTGGTGATTTTGAATATTGTAAGGCCCTGATGATTTTGAAAATTGTAAGGCCCTGATGATTTTGAAAATGGTTAGGCCCAGATGATCTTGAAAATGGTAAGGCCCTGATGATTTTGAAAATGGTAAGGCTCTGATGATTTTGAAAATGGTAAGGCTCTGGTGATTTTGAAAATGGTAAGGCCCCGATGATTTTGAAAATGGTAAGGCCCTGATGATTTTGAAAATGGTAAGGCTCTGGTGATTTTGAAAATGGTAAGGCTCTGGTGATTTTGAAAATTGTAAGGCCCTGATGATTTTGAAAATTGTAAGGCCCTGATGATTTTGAAAAAGGTAATGTCCTGATGATTTTGAAAATGGTAAGGCTCTGGTGATTTTGAAAATGGTAAGGCCCTGATGATTTTGAAAATGGTAAGGCTCTGGTGACTTAGAAAATGGTAAGGCCCTGATGATTTTGAAAAAGGTAAGGCCCTGATGATTTTTAAAATGGTAAGGCCCTGATGATTTTGAAAATTGTAAGACCCTGATGATTTTGAAAATAGTAAGGAGGTGGCATTTGCCTTAATTATATTACATGTGTTACATGCCAATTTTTAAAACTTGAAAATGAAGAAGAAAAAGCTGGAAGGTAGAAAAGACCAGATGTAAAAATTGTGGGTTCAAACAGATTGAATTTATACAATTAATTTTCTTAAAAGAAACACTAAAATTTAAATTTATACAAATACATTAAACATTAACTTAATGGTAATATTTAAGTAATATTTTAATCATTTAATTCATTTTTATTGTTATAATATAGGAAATATTTTTTCACAGGCCCAATTATCCTTTTTACTCTTAAAAGATAAGCACAGCTTACAGCTTTTAGTAAATAATTCTATTTAATTAATTCTTGACCACCATAAAGTAGATCAGGCTCAAATTTGTTGGTCTTTTGAATACTTTAATCTTAAACACAAAGTATTTAGCTATCAATAAAAGAAGAGTCAAATAAAAACTACATTATGGAATGTACCAAAAGATTAAAATCAAAGTCTTGAAAAAACATACAAGAGATAAACTCCCTGTGATTTGAAATACTTACTACTTTTGGGAGGATACCAGAGGCTTTCTTGATAATAGCATCATTAAATAATATGAGAAGGTTTGATGCAGAGTACAGCAGTTCTGAGATAATTGTTGAATCCTCAAACCGCCCTACACAAAAATTAGTGTTATGAAGTAAGTGAATTAAAGAAATATTGTTACGTAGGCTTCACTGCAAGTTAAAAAGAGTAATGTCATATGATTAAATTCAATTCTGACATCAGCATAACTGGCATAACTTTATTATGTTTTACACTTGATAAGTAGAATCAAATGCTATAAGAATTTTGAATGATAATGTATTGAACTATTTACTTATAAATAGATCTATAAAAAATTGCCAGAAATATTGTATTATTTCAGAATAAATATAGGCCTATATTAGGATATGTTATAAAAAAAACAACATCAATTTAAAATTGGGTCTAATAAATTATTTTTAGAGTATTCGAATGTCGTTACTTTAAAGATTAGTATGGGCCAGCATTTAGGCCTATGGGCTACAGACCTAGGCCTAATAAGATACAATAGTGCATGCAAGCTGATCCTGTGATGCTGAATTTTGACTAGTTTTAGTGGATGTGTGATAGTGTTGTATGGGACAAATGAGAGATTATCAAATTTTTTAGATGTCTTTTCCCTACTTTGAAAAATAAAAATCAATTACAAATGTTTATACAAAATTTAGGATGCCATGACCTCATTCTTTTGCAATTCATGTTTATGGTAGGGCGTGTTAGGGCAAGCTTCCACTCTTTCTAATTAGTACTTATATCACAAGAAAATAATTAATTAAGTTACAGCACTGGTAAGCACAGCAATTTGTATATTAGATGTAGGCTAGAGATGTAATCTATGTCAAAAAATGGTAATGAGTATTAATAGACTATATATAATATATATATATATATATATATATATATAAAATAAATCTACAGTAGTCTAATACTAAAATTTCACACTCCCTGCGCCACTCTTTCTAACTTTTTCATTGGATTTTAAAAATTCATATTCATAATTAAAAATAAAAACAAAGTCATCAGGGAAATGGATTCCCTTGGGAATGGGATCTCAATGGGGACCATGATCCCAATGTGGAACGGGATCCAATTGGAAACGGAAACTTCTGGGAATGGATTCCCAAAGGCAATGGGTTCCCCCCAGAAACAGAGCCAATCAGGTAAAGAAATGTTGGTCAATATATGCAATACCTGCAACTTTGAGTTTCTATGTAGGATTCTCTTTGAGAGGTTAAAAATATTTTTTTATAAAATAAGGCTTTGGTGCCTGCATTTTGGAAAATGGATTTAGATTTCTTGGAATTTCAATTTTTTATTATTTTTTCGTGAAACCTGCAATAAAGTGTGTAAAAGTGTATACGATGAAACTGTAAGATGCGTTTTCATTATTTTAAAAATATTTTGTATTGTTTTTTTTTCATTTTTGCACTCTTCTTACCACAGTGTGTAAATGAAGCACATGTTTATTGGGTGAATGAAAGGAGCAACCAAGGGTCATTGAACTTCTTGCCGCATATCTAGTGATATACAATAAAGTAGCTACGTTCCCCATGAAATTAATGTGCTGGCTGAAATGATGACATTAGATTTTAATGTTTTGTTCCTATTTTCGTTTCTCTCAGTAAGTAGCAAAAACAAAAAATTCTCTCTCACCCTTCCCAGCCCATTCTATCCAACGTTTGTCTGCACTATTGTTTTTTAACACTGCTGCCATCTTGGTTGCCATGGCACTCCGCCATCAAGGCAACCAAGAGGCGGCCGTGGGAAATGAGTGGAACGCTGAATAAACATTTACCAAAGTGTAATAAGAAAAATGAAAAGATATCTTGATATAACAAGCCTTAAACTTAAACTTATACGATTATGATTCTAAATTAATGAAGTAAGACCACTTATTAGGTTAGTCAAGTCTAGATACTTCGGTAAAAAAAATCCAAATTAAAAAGAATTATACAACTTTACAGTTATATAGAGCAATAGAGACAAACTTCAAAGAAAAAAAATTAACCAAAATCAACTTTCTAGCTTTAATACTTTTGTTTAAGCTATGAATTTTTAAACTGCGAGTTCGTTTCATATTTTTTTTACAATGGATGAACTGCACATTTTGTGAAATCATTCCACTGATGGCATCAGGCGCAATAACTCTTGTTCAAATGATAATTTTTTCTAACTTTTATTTTCAGAATTAATCATTGATAGGTATTAAAAGTTCTAATTTTAATTTAAAATTAATTCCAACAATATTATGCAATTGAATTATAAATAAATTATAACTTTTCTAGCTATGTAAAGCATTATTACATTAAATATGATACGCATGCTCTGTTTACAAAGTCTAGCGTCCATTATATATATATATATATATATATATATATAATAGTCTATGTAAGGCAAGGCGTCACCTAAAACTCATACTAATATTGGTTTGGGACTACTTCCTTTGAACTTTCAACTTTTAAAGCTTTCTTTGTTCAATGATGATTTACTAGTGTTTACACACGGCACATTCATTCTCTTTTGAATGAAACTATGAGAATAGTACTAAAGTAGCATAAGACATGCAAGGACTGTAAATGGTTGCCCTTGAAAATGTTTTGCACATGCCAAATTATGATCATTTATTCATTTATAATATGGACTTTACCAGGTTTTTAAACTTCAAATTAAAACATTCTTGTTTAAATTACATCGAGGTTAATTCTAAATCAGAAGGTATCAAATATTTTGTTGTAAATAGTGGCTAGTGGTAATTAATGAATATTTCCTAAGTATTGGCACCTTCCTCCATTAATAAGGGAGAGTGGCCCACACCATGGTCCAATTTAGTCTGAGCAATCTACTGCTTTACCTTTTTTTTGATCATCATTTGTTTTTGAAATTCATAGTTTCATAGGTATATATAAATAGGTACTTATGGTAACAAATTTTATCATTTTGTAAAAATAAACCAATGGCATAGTTGAATAGAGCTAATTTTTTTTGCAGAATTATTACACCAAAATCATATTTGTAGCTATTTTTTATTTAGTTTTAAATGTATGAATTTTTTAAGTGCGACTTCGTTGGTCCTTTTTTAACATGGACCTCATCTACACATTGAGAGACCCAATTCTGCTGCTCGCGTCTCGAGCTAAATAACTCTCGTTTTAATGATAACTTTATAGATGTTTTATTTACAGAACTAATGCTGTATTAAAAAATAATTTTAATAATGTTATACAATTATAGATAAATTGTAGCTTATCTAACTATGCACTGTGTATATCAGTAAATTTTATATAAAGGATTAATATATGGCTTTTCTGTTTACCAAATCTACTGCGTCCATTATACCAGTGTACGCTATATAAGTCAACACATCCCCTTTATTAATAAAATACTTTTTTGGGGCAAACATATTTTGAACTTTCAACTTTGGCACATGACTAATTAGTTCAAGCTTTCCCTGACCAATGTTTTTAATAGTTTTTGCACATGGCAAACTTTTATGAATGAAACTCTGAGGTAGTACTACGGTATAACCATTATTGAAGTGGCTGTGAATGGTTGCCCATGACAACGTTTTGCACACGGAAAATTCTGATCATTTATTATATGGACTCAGACCTTAATTATGGGCCAAAAGGACTCCTGTATCATTAAAATTCCACTCACATAAAAAATTAAAAACTCAGATTCCATTCTGCCGATCCCCATTTTCGATACAAATTTTAATTTCTAGGAGTATCCATTACTTTACCAAGTACCTAATACTAATACTTCATTGGCTCCCTATACAGGCACGCATTGACAACATGTTGTCTGTTCTCTGTCACAACTTTTTCTCGAATTCCTGCCCTTCCTATCTAACCGAACTTCTTTCTGTCTATTCATCCCTTCAACAGCTTCGCTCCTCCACAGACACGTGTATTCTGTCTGTTCCCAAGAAACACACTAAAACAAATGGTGAACGATCTTTCTCTTTCTGCACCCCCAAACAATGGAATTCTTTGCCACTACACATCCGCAATATACCAACTGCCCAGGCCTTCAAAACTGCACTCAAAACACATCTCTTTAAACTATGCTACCCTAACTGATTCCCCTCCTCTGACCGATAAACGATCCTGCTGGCTGCTGCCCATGGTTTGCCATGTAAAAGTTCTGGGGTGGGTGAATATACATTTGTTTTTGTTGTTTTGGTTACACGCTGTTTTTTATTTCATAAACGTATTTTATTTTAATGTCATGATTATGTCTCTTTTGCTAATATTTTTATGTACAGCGCGGTGAGCCCAGCCCTAGGCTGGGGTACCACTGGGCTGGGGTACCGCACTATATAAGACCACTAATTATTATTATTATTAATACTAATACTAATATAAATGAGGCAATCCTGGAAGGATACCACAATTTTATGACAAAATAGTAATTTTATAAATGAAAAAGCACCAATGTCAAAAATTAAAAACTTGCATTCTTCTGCGCAGATGCCATTTCTCATACAAATTTTGAAGTAGTCTCCCCTGCTTTACAGATGTTCCTAGGCCTAGGACTCAAGTCCATACCAACTCCTATAATTAATTTCAATCATAATTAATTTATAATTCCACCATTGACTTGATTGACCATTCATGTTGGTAGATACTGCGGTAAAACAAGGGAGACTACTTTAAAATTGTATCGGAAATTGGCTTCGGCGCAGTAAAATCCGACTTTTTAATGTCCATTCATTAATGAATGAGTCCTTTTCACATATAATTGTGGTCCGCTTCTGCCTTTTCAGTTTGGAAGACATATATAATATATTTAGAAAATCTTTGGTATATATATGGGATCTTCGCATACAAAATTTTTTGTGAAATAAAAAGAAAAGGTCTTTCATATTAAATCATGAAAAGCATTAGATATTGAATTTTAAGTGTGCCAATTTTCATTAATGTAGGTCATGTCCGACGTTCGTTATGCTTGATCCTTTGACCCACATGAACATAAGGTTGCTCAACCTAATTTTGACATGGCGTGGGCCACGCCCCCTTTTTAATGGCGGAAGTTTGCTATACTTAGGAAATATTTAATTATTACCACTATTTACATCAAAATATTTGATAACTTTTGTTTCAGAAAGCATTTTGACGACATTTAAAATGGAATGTTTTACATTGAGCTTTAAAAACCCTGTCTCGTGCGGAGATACTGATCTTCAACTGATCTCCTCCCCAGGTGGCGGATAGGGGAAAGCCCACCAGATATGGAGGGCACCAGGGAAATAAAATACCTGGGGCGGACCAAAATCAGAACCTACTGCCTTGTAGAAAGTGGAGGGACCCACAAAGGATCCTCAGTCAGTGCAGTCATAGGCTTCAAACCGGAAAACGAAAGTTTGTGTTCTTTGCGTGTTTGAGGAAAAATTGCAATATAACATTCATAAATGTACAAGCTCCAACCGAAGACACGGAAGATCAGGATAAAGAATCCTTTTATGAGACACTGGAAAAGATCTACGAAGAGGCACCACGACATGATATTAAAAAAGTTATTGGAGACTTCAATGCCAAAATAGGAAAAGAAAAGGTGTTCATGCTAACTATTGGCAAGGAAAGTCTGCATGAAGAATCCAATGACAATCGGATCCGACTCATAGACTTTGTGGTAGGAAAAGGGATGTCAGTTAGCAGCACCAAGTTTCCGCACAAAAATATACATAAGGCTACGTAGAACTCACCAGATGGAATCACCCGCAATCAAATCGATCATGTTTTAATAGATCGGAGACATGGATCAGATATATTAGATGTGAGAAGCCTTAGAGGAGCAGATGCGGACTCGGATCATCTACTTGTAAGGGTAAAATATAGACAGAGAATAAGCTTAATTCACTATGGTCGTAATCAAAGAGAGAAACGATGCGATTACCAAAAGCTGCCCAAAGACCCATTAACTGCAAAAGCGTACCAGAATAATAATAATAATAATAAAGTTTAAAATAATAAAGGTGTTTGCGAAATAGATGTGTTTTTAAATCGGTTTTAATGGACTCCAGTGTCTGGCTGTTTCTGAGAGTGACTGGAAGGGTGTTCCAAATTGTTGGGCCGGCAAATGCAAAATGAAGTAGAAGTATAATTAGAAGCATCGCAGGAGGAAGTAAACGAGGAAAACAACATAATTGATCAGTGGGATAGGATAAAAAATGCCATTAAAAGATCAGCAGAAAAAGTAGTGGAATTTCAGAAAGCCAACAATAGCGTAGGCTGGTTCGACAATGAATGCAGAGAGACTGTGGAAGAAAGAAACAAAGCAAGAATGATCATGTTACAAAGGGAAACCAGAAATACAACACAAACATACAAGGAAGCCAGAAGGAAAGCAACAAAAATGTTTAAGAAGAAAAAGAGGGAATGGGAAAAAGATAAACTAAAGGAAATAGAAGATTTATCAAGAGAGGGAAATATATGAGGAATATACATGAAGATAAAAGATGAAAAGAATGGATACCAAGCCAGACTGCAAATGTGTGAGAGCCACAATGGAGAATTAATCACGGAAAATAGTGAAGTACTGGAGAGGTGGGCTGAATACTTTGAGGACATACTGAGTGCAGACAATAGACAAGAAGAAGATTATCACCCACCACAGGGAGGACCAGACCCTTTTATACAATGCCCAACCCTAGAAGAAACCAAAGAGGTAATTAATTATATGAAAAATCACAAAGCCCCCGGACAAGACCTCATCACAGCAGAACTGATTAAATATGGAGGAAAAGAACTACACAATCAGATACATAAACTTATAACTAAAATGTAGCAAGAAGAGAAAATGCAGACAGAGTGGGAAACAGCTTTAATAGCCCCAATACACAAGAAAGGCTCCAAACCTCAGTGCACAAACTACAGGGGAATCTCCCTATTAAATGTTTAAAAAATACTGATGAAGCTTATTGCCAAAAGACTACAACCTTACACTGAAGAAATACTAGGTGATTACCAATGTGGATTCAGGCCTAACAGATCAACGACTGATCAGATTTTCACCATCAGATGCCTATAAGAGAAATGCTATGAATATATAATATACCAGTACATCAAATATATGTGGACTATAAAATGGCCTATGACAGCATCAAAAGAAACTATCTATATGAGACTCTGCAGGAGTTTGGGATACCCAACAAACTGACAAGACTAATACATGTACCACTAAACAACTCAAAAAGCAAAATCAAGATTCAAGGAGAATATTCAAGGGAATTTCATATTAGACGAGGCCTAAGACACAGAGACTCACTGTCTGTATGCTTTTTAACCTAACATTAGAGAGAGTTATTAGAAACATACACATTGACACTTGAGGAACGATAACAAGATACTTTCTGAGGGAAACTCAAAACCCACAGCCAATGGGCATACTCTACAACCAACCACTTCAGTATCTTGCATATGCTGATGACATAGCACTTCTAGGGAAAAGTATTAAAGACATATCAAAATCCTTTATTGAATTAGAAGACGCATCTCTACAAGCAGGGCTGGAAGTTAACAACCAAAAAACAAAATACATGACCATGATAAGAGAAGAACAAACAGAGGAAGCAATTAAAATTAGAAACCAGAAAAAGTAAATCAATTCAAATACCTAGGATCCTTGTTAAATGAAAGAAACAAATTACTAACAGAAATAAAAGAAAGAATATCAGCCGGAAATAAGCCATACTTCAGTAGTCAGAAAATACTCAAAAGTAAAAACATTACAAGCGAAACACAGTAAAACTATTTATAAAACTGTAATCAGACCAGTTGTAACATATGCAAGTGAAACCTGGACCCTAACAAAAACAGTAGAAAACCTATTAAACACATGGGAGAGGAAAGTTCTCAGGAAAATAAATGGGCCAACAAAGGATGAATATTATTGAATATGGATGGAGAATACGAACCAACCATGAATTATACAGTCTATATCAGGATCCCACGATAGTAGCAGAAATAAAAAGAGGCAGGCTACGCTGGGCAGGACACCTAAAGAGAATGTCGGAACGAAGAGGGTGCATCACCAATACCCCAGAGCCAGAGGAAAAAGGCTCAAAGGCAGACCTAGGCTTAGGTGGATATATGATGTGGAAAATGATCAACAGCAGTTGAAAGTTCAAGCATGAAAAAGAGAGGCATTAGTTAGGTCTGAGTGGAAGGAAGTGGTGAGGCAGGCCAAAGCCCTACATGGGCTGTAGCGCCACAGGGATGGATGGATGGATGGATTTAAAAACCCTGTAGTAGGATCCATATTATAAATGATTAGAATTGTCCGTGTGCAACATGTTGTCATTGGAAACCATTCACAGCCACTTGCATAATGGCTATATTTCTTCTTCTATATCTTAAGGGCCCACGATCAATTATTTGATCATTTTGGCTCCTATGCATGAAGATGGGATTTGCAATGTTTCTGTTACTGGTGTTGATGAGGAAATCATGCATTAGGAGTTTGAAGGCTTGAGGCAATAGACACAAATGTGTCTAGTGTTGTCGCCTCAAACGTTCCTTTTGAAAGATGGTTCCAGTCCCTGATTGTCTTGGGCAGGAATGAGCAGCTCCTATACTGGCTTCTTGCTGGTATGAGCCTGAATTGCCTGTATTTTAGTACTACCTCACAGTTTCATTCATAAGAGTTTTCCGTGTGCAAAAACTATTAAACCATGGTCATGGACCATTGGTAAGGGAAATCTTTAATAAATTATTCATGTGCCAAAGTAAAAGTTGAAAGTTTAATATAAGTCGACCCTAAACAGTATTTTAGTGATAAGGGGATGTGTTGCCTTATATAATCTATATAGTCATTGCAAATAACGCGATCGGCGGAATGAGGTCACAAGATGTGGAAGTTTAAATGTCTTCAAAATGCATTCTGAAACACAAGTTATCAAATATTTTGATGTATATAGAGGTAATAATGAATATTTCCTAAGCTAAGTATCGGCGTTTTCCGCCATTTAAAAGGGGGCGGGATCCTTAATCCAAAATGGCCAGTGCGACCTTTGCATAATGAGGTCAATGTTGAGGAGAATTGTGAAAATGTTTATTGAGCTATCTCTAGAAACTTTGCACACATGTACAGACCTGTTTACCCTCAAACTCTTAAAATCTTACAATATCATCACAAAATCGTTCAATACACTATCTTAATACTAAAAAAATAAACATGTATACACCTCAAAATCGTACATTGTACGCCGAAATCGTAAGAGTAAACAGGTCTGCATGTACTTCAACAAATTATGCAGGCCTACTTTTAATATGAAAGACCTACCTTGAATATTTATACAAAAATGTTTAATGCGAAGATGCCTTATATTGACATACGATTTTCCTTACTTAACGTTGATATAAAGAAATAATTAACTCAATGGGAATGTAGTTCAACATTTCTCCTAACGTTAATGGGCGGAGTCAGACCTTAATTATGGGCCGAAAGGACTCCAAATTTATTCAAATTACATGCACATGAAAAATTAAAAACTCGGATTCTATTGCGTCAACACCCATTTCCGATACAAATTTACTAGGAGTCTCCCTTGCTTTGTCGTAGTACCTAGATTAAAATGTAGGCCAAGATGTCCTCTAAAGCGAAAGGCTGGAAGAGGAACACAATTCTGGGAGATAGTAATTATTTTATGAATGAAATAGTTTCAACATCAAAAAATTAAAAACTCTGATTTTCGCGCGCTGACGCCTATTTCCCATACAAATTTTTTAGAACTCTCCCTTGCTTAATCGAAGTACCTACCTTTAGTAAAAAATACCAAACGAACTCACACTTTAAAAATTTGTAGCTCAAAAAGTAATTAAGCTAAAAAGTTGATTCTGGTTTCAATTTGAGGTAAATTCTGAGAAAGCGGCCCGAGTCTATTTCCATGGCCGCCATCTTGGTTGCCTCGACCCGCGCACTTTTACGTGTTCACAGGTCAAGGCAGCCAAGATGGCGGCCATGGAAAAATAAAATAACTCATGTTTGCTAAAATTAGGAAGAAAACTTTAAAAATTTATGAAAAAATGTGTTAAATCGATCCCTATGCCTAACCCAAACCCTAAATTACTAAATCTATCCCTATGCCTAACCCGAACCCTAAATCACTAGTATCTATCCCTATGCCTAACCCGAACCCTAAATCACTAAATCTATCCCTATGCCTAACCCGAACCCTAAATCAAAATCGATCCCTAAATACTACGTCTAAAGCCACAAGTAAAAACATGTGGAATTTACATAATGTGGCAAGAAAACGATAAAATTAACAAAAAAATGCCCAAAATAATCATAACATAAAGAAATGATGAAAATCCAACTTACAGTTTCATGAAATACACTTTTACACACTTTATTTCAGGTTCCAACGCAAATATAGCCCCAAAATGAATAAATCTCCACACCCCACATTCACCCCAAAGATATCAAAGATGGCGCAACCAAATAAAAATGATAATGAGCCAACCAATCAAAATTTAAAAATTATAATTAATCTAATCAACCAATAAAAACCAATAGAATCCAAAACAAAGTCGTCGTGGGCCACTAAATCTGAAATAGCCCAATTTGAAATTTGTTCTAAATAACTAATATTAAATTAAAATATTAATATTAAAAAAATATTTTGAATTTGTTTACTAAAGTACCTAAATTAATATGACTAGATCTAATAATAATAGACTAATGACTAATGATAATGTAGATACTTCGATGAAACAAGGGAGACTACAACTTTTTTTGTATCGGAAATGGGTGTCGGCGCTGAAAAATCCGAGTTTTTAATTTTCCGATGTGTGTGTCTATTTATTATTAAATTAGTTCTTTCGACATATATTTGAGTTCCGTTTCCGGCCTTATAATTTCGTAGACATCTTGGCCTACATTTCTAGCCAGCTATTTTGCTTTTTTTAATCGACCTTTATTTTGAAAATCTTTGGTATATAAAAGACATCTTCGCATTAAATATTTTTTGTGAAATAATAAGATAAGGTCCTTTTTGATTAAATCTGTATGAGCATTAGATATTGATCTATATCTGTGCCAAGTTTCATTGATGTAGGTCGTGTCTCACATTTGTTACGCTTGTCACAGTGACCCATATCACCATAAGGTGGCTCAGCCTAATTTCGACATGGCGTGGGCCACGCCCCCTTTTTAATGGCGGAAGTTGCCGATACTTAGGAAATATTTAATTATTACCACTAAATACATCAAAATATTTTATATTTTGTGTTTCAGAATGCATTTTGAAAACATTTAAACTGGAATGTTTTAATTTGAGCTTTAAAAACTCTGTAGAGTCCATATTATAAATGATCAGAATTTTCCCTGGGCAACACGTTGTCATTGGCAACCATTCACAGCCACTTGCATAACGGCTATATCGTAGTACTATCTCAGAGTTTCATTCATAAGAGTTTGCCGTGTGCAAAATCTATTAAACCATTGGTCAGGGAAAGCTTTAATTAATTATTCATGTGCCAAAGTTGAAAATAAGTCGACCCTAAACAGTATTTTAGTGATAGGGAATGCGTTGCCTTATATAAACTATATAGTCATTGCGCATGACGCGATCAGTGGAATGAGGTCACAGAATGTGGAGATGCAGTCCATGTTAAAAAATGACAATCCAAGTCGTACTTTAAAATTTCATAACTTTAAAACTACAACAGCTAAAAATATGATTTTGGTGTTATAATTCTGTAAAAAAATTAGCTCTATTCAACTGTGCCTTTGGTTTATTTTTACAAAATGTTTAAATTTTTGACCAAAGTATCCATGATAATGTCTCTAAACTCTAAACTCTAAACTAAATGTTGTTCCCTGGTTAAGGTTTATTTTAAATAAGTAATAGCATTTAGGGAACAAACATTCCACAACTGATACTATTACCTGCTATGGCATAAGATACAAGGCGAAAGGCCGACTCAAACTGTGCAATTGCATTGTAATTATTGCTTATTGCATTTTTGTATTCTTGATACAAGTTTTGGAGAATGTCAGCCATTTTGATGTACCGATGGGATTTGCAATAACATGATTGGCTGAAGAAGGATGCCTAGTACTTACTAACTCTCCAAAAAGAGGAGATTCATTTTCAGAGGCGGAAAAGTTTTTAGTCTATCAGCAATGTAACGAATTAATCATGCAACATATTTGCACCACCGTATGACTCAGAGTTTTTGTGACCAAGAAAAAATTAATAATAGCCATGATACACTACAATCCTTAATATGATTTAGCTGACTCAACTTCGGAGTTTTATTTAAAAAATTTCCGGCTTGAAGTGTTCTTGAAGAAATGACTCAGAAATGAATGAAAAATGAAAGCTCGGCGCTGAGCTATTCTGATTTTGAGGCACTGATTGACTGATTATCAGATACAAATTTACTTATATAAAAAAGTCTGGTAGTCTTGATGAGTCCTCATGACAGCTCGTGCATCAATTGGAATGGGCAGGCATGAATCTTAGGTAGTAGTAGTACTAGAAGCAAAGCTCCTCCAAAAAGTGTTGGGGACATGAAAGAAAAAGCTGAGGAATTTAAGAAATTTTAACAACATTTTTCATATACAAACTAAAGTAGATTGGGCTAAGTCTGAAAAGTCAAATTTAATATTTGAGCTAAAGCAGTAAATTTTAGAGGCAAGAAAGGAATATACAATTTTTTTTAAAATAGGGTATACAAAAGGAAAATGAAAAAAGAGAGATAGGTTATTTAGAAGACAAAGGTAAATAAAATAATGAAATTTAATCAAAATAGATGATGTTTAGAGTTTAGACAGTTTAGTTTAGTAACTGCTGAGCCTACTTCTACTTCAACTATTTATTGTTTACCCTATCTAATCTGGGTTTAAGATAAATTCTATCATTAAGGGCATGATTTAATTTCCAAATATATAATTCACTGTTGTGAAGTTTGATAATTATTACAATTACAACATATATTTAAATTACTCAAGTTGATATATCATATAGATCTAGTTTTTACATAGTTATCATGGATCTAAATTTTATTATTTAAAAAAATTAAATTTCATAAAATGTTTATAAATTGTTTTCATTCATGAAATAAAAACAAGTTTAATAATAAAAATGAACTTGATTGCTTTTAAAACTATAGATTTATAAAGATTTTTAAATATTTCTTATGCAATAAGAATAATAATAACAGAGAATGGTTATCACTTCCGGTTCATTTGGCCTTATTGATAACTTGTTAGGAGCTATTGCTCAAATTTACACCCTGACGCCCTGTCTATACAATTTTCGGCCTATCTAAATTTCATTACGTTTCTTGCTTCAATTAGTTAAATCATTTTTACATTCAATACAAAAGGAATTAATTGCAATACGATGATGGTTTCCGACATATAGCGCTATCAAAATTACCTGTTTTCCCAACGAAAGATATTTGCCACAAACCCTGTCAGTCCAGTGAAAAAGTTTATTTTGTAATGATCGTCCTCCTGGTGTGCACAAAACAGACTATAGGAAGTTCATTGTCTCTCCCTTATGTAGACAAAGGAAACGAAATCTAAATATGACCCCATGACCTACCAGCATTGACCAGACGCCGGTTAATGGTCTTGCATCCGAAAAATCGACCGGCGCGCGCAGCTTAGTGAAGTACCTACCAGAGTCCGAATAGCGGCCATGCACGCCCTGAGCGGCCCTGGTCCCATCAGACTAAATTAGGTTGACCAAACATCCACGATTCTACCCGTTGTCCCAAAAAAGTCTCTCGGGACGCCTAAATTTTAAATGTCCTTTTTTTTAAACCAAGCACTTTCAAATCACTAAAACTTCCTAATTTATAATATATCTTCAAGTAATATTTTGGCTATCTGTATAGCCAGTTCCAGTAGTGTTGTGGGCTCGCGTGATGGCTGCACTGTTCCCCCTCCACCAGTGTCCCTTCCATAGATCTTTTATGTAAATGTATAAAATGTATAGCTAAAGACACAAGACTTGAAGCAGGGGGAAAAGATGCAACTGCGTGCAGAAAACAATTTTGATTTCGCTACTGCTACGTGTAATGTGTTAGTCTTATGTGTGATACCTGCCGGGCTGTTCGTGTCAGAGTGACACGTGTCTGTTTTGGGTGTTGAACTTTATTATTTAATTTTATATTATCTTCTCATGTAGACAATAATTATGCCCAAGTGTCAATGCAAGTTTATGAAGGAGTATTCCAAAGAGTGCAACTATATTAAAAAGGGACACTATGATAGTGAAGCCGAGTGCACAGTTTGCAATAACGTTTTTAGTAATTGGTATTTCCCGCCACCACCCCACCCCCCCCAGGCCATCCTTGAAAGTGTCCCGTTTTTTCAAGTTCATGCTTTGGTCACCCTAGACTAAATACTATTCCAATGTTATTTGTGGTAGTTTATTTAAGTTAAGCTAAAGAAGTAAGTTTGTAAACGTATAGTCCATTCATTCAATTATCTTTTATTTGATACAAAATTTTTTCTTACAAATCCAACAATAGTATTTTTAATATTTAAAAAAAAAAATCCAACCTCTCACTTCTGATACTGGGTTCGAATAGCCACATCGTTAAATTAAAAATGTTAAGCGGACACCCGCTCTGAAACTGAGACTTTAAGTTATATTATATTATTACCCTAAGTCTATTTTAAATTATATTAATTTTTATTATACTGACTAAAAAAGTTGCTGTCATCTGGCAGACTTTTTAAAAAATTAATATTTAAATAGATAAATATATTAGCATACTCTTTCTAAAAGCGGGGGGGGGGGGAGAACTTTGTAATGTTTTATTTGAAGGGCTCCGAGTTCGAAATTTTTTTCCAATGTTTATAATTTATATATTATATGCCGCTGCTCCATACATTGACATTTTGTATGATTTTAATTTTAAAAAAGAAAAGGATTTTGGATAATCTTCTTTAAAAAAATTTTAAATTATATTAATTTTTATTATACTGATTAAAAAATTTGCTGTCATCTGGCAGACTTTTTAAAAAATTAATATTTAAATAGATAAATATATTAGCATACTCTTTCTAAAAGCGGGGGGGGGGGAGAACTTTGTAATGTTTTATTTGAAGGGCTCCGAGTTCGAAATTTTTTTCCAATGTTTATAATTTATATATTATATGCCGCTGCTCCATACATTGACATTGTGTATGATTGTAATTTTAAAAAAGACAAGGATTTTGGATAATCTTCTTTAAAAAAATCATATATTTCTACAGGATTTTATCAAAGCAAACAAACTATAAGCTAAATTATTACACATGGTCATATGTACATAACGCTGCAAAGAATTCTTCTTCTAATAGATAGACTCAAGCAGCTGCTTTCTAGAGAAAAAATAAAATGACTACTTAAAGATTGTTAAAATATATTCTATTTCCATACAGACTTTTGAACTGTTGATGAGCTAATTATAGAACTTCAACTAAAGGTATCTTTAAATTTAGTGTCACAATACTTAGCCATTTTCATAAGTTATAAATAATTAGTGTTTGGTAATCTCATTTTCTGTATTGTAATGCTGCGACTAAAGGGAACTTAGTTAAGTTAGTAAACTTTAAAACTAGGCAGCATGTTCATGAGAGCAAAAGGGACCACAACATAATTTTAGTACTTGAACGTTATACAGCTGAAAGAAAAGTATTAAATACTGATACCCAAGTATAAAAGTTTGTGAGAAAAATGACATTGTTTGAAAACATTTAAATCAGATTTTTTCTTTATTTATAAATGAACGTTTTTTTTTAAAAATGAAAATTATATTTTTCAGATGTTTCGTCCAAGAAAAAAAGTGTTGATTGCATTGTTGATACTGGGCGCTTTCCCTGTTACATTTATGATGTATTTATTTATAAATGAAGAAAGTAAGTACAGATCTATTTCTGAATTTATTGATGGTTAAAGAACAAAAAAATAATACCTCCTTCATTATTAATATTTGTGCAGTAGTCATTGTCTCATTGCTCGGTTAAAAATTCAATGGTACTTGCTTCATTTTACATGCATTGCTTCTTGTCCCCCACCTAAGACTTATGAAATCTCATCTATTTAGTCATACATTTATGCATACTCAAATGAAGACTTTGGCTACCTCTATGTAAGAGATGTACGAACTCTTAGCACTGTGTTCTTTGATTTTTAGGTGAGGGAATTGTTGACCATTTAAGAGCTGTCAGAGCTGTTTCTTATTATGCTAATCTAGACATATAACTCTTACTATACTAAACTTGACATGTAACTGTAACATTACTCCTATTGTACCAATCTCAATATATAACCCCTGTCATCAACATGCCCCCCCCCCCCCCCCCCCCCCCCCCCCCCCCCCCCCCCTTAGAACAACACCCATTGTTGCTTTTGACAAATATCCTGTGAATGAATATTTTCACTAAATATTCTATTGAATATAGGGCTATATGCTACTTATGGTGAAAAGTTGACAATAAGCTCAGCTGAGCTCAAGATTGTGGAAAAAGTTCGGGAAGTTGAGGAACAAAATGTTGCACTTCGTAAACAACTGAGGTATGTTTTTAAAACTGGTTCTTGAAAAATTCTACAAAAATTATTTTTTTTAGAAATTAAAAAAATGATTTGACTATTTTTATTTTGACCTTTCTTTAAATAAATTACTTAAGAATGTTTTCTTATGTATGTAAAAAAGTTTTAATAAGAGATGATAGTCCTTTCAATGGTAACAGCTGATTTTGATTTGTGTGTTAATAATGATGTGAAAACTCTCAAGTCAAAACCAGAATGAATTACTCAGACTACAAATGACTTTGGCAGCCACAAATGATTCCAGTAATTCTGCTAAAATAAAATGTGTCAATGCCGAGCCAGATGTTCCAAAGTGTGAGGTAAAAAAATAAGCTGATTTAACAATTATACAATTTTAAAATAAAAATTTGCTTTAAAAAAGGATAAACTGTTAATCTATAGTTTAATCACGTAGCATCTTTTGACCACGGTTCATATTTTCTCCATAATTTTATCCTTTGGTAGCAAAGTCAAGCAGGCCTTAGGCCAAATT